AGAGAGAGAGAGAGAGAGAGAGAGAGAGAGAGAGAGAGAGAGAGAGAGAAACACACACACACAGAGAGAGACACCTAACTATAAATCTATGAGATAAAACATGGAATATGCTACAGGTCACTGAAATGGGCAACAATTTCTTCAAAACTTGAAAAACACAAGAAAAAAACAACAAAAAGATAAATGTTACTGTAACAAACTAAAAAGCTCTGCATAGCAGAGTAAACAAAAAGGCAAGCTAGGTATACATGCTTGCCATCCCAGCACTGAGAAGGTTGAGAAGAAAGAAAGACTGACATACAAGTTTAACAGAAGCTGGCTACAGGGCTAGGGCTACACAGCAAGACCTGGTTTCAAAGGAGAAAAAAAACCCAAAAAGCCAAAACTGAAAAAGCTAAACAGAAAACCAACACACACACACACACACACAAACACAACAGCAAAAAGACAATATACAGAATAAGTATTTGCAAACTATTTGCCTAAAAAGACATTAACAACCATAGCTAAAAAATGTAAAAAGCCGGGCAGTGGTGGTGTACACCTTTAATCCTGGCACTTGGGAGGCAGAAGCAGGTGGATTTCTGAGTTTGTGGCCAGCCTGGTCCCAAAGTAAATTCCAGGACAGCCAAGACTACACAGAGAAAAACACTATCTTAAAAAACAAACAAACAAACAAACAAACAAAAAAAATGACAACAACAACAACAAAAAAAGCCTTTTATCAAAAACACAGTTTTGTGATGAGTTTTATTTGTAAGTTTTGTATAATAAAGTTTTAGTAAATTAAAAAAAAATAGACTAGAGATGAAAACAGGTGGAAAAGTACTTTCCTAGCATGCACAAAGCCCTGGGTTTAGTCTCCAGTATGGTAAAATGATCAAAAACACTAGCAATGATGTGGGACGCCCCAAATATTGTAGTAAAAACATAAATCAGTACAGCCATGCTAGAAAACAGTATGAAAGTGTTTTTCAAAACTTTGAAAATAAAACTACCATATGATGTAGGAATTCTACTACAGGTTCTATAACCAAAAGAAACAAAATTGGCATTTTGAAAAGATATCTGCACTCCCAGGTTTACTGTAACACTATCTACAAAACAGCCAAGAAAAGGAAACCTGGGCTGAAGAGATAGCTCAGCGGTTAAGAGCAGTGACTGCTCTTCCAGAGGCCCTGAGTTCAATTCCCAGCAACCACATGGTAGCTCGCAACCCTCTGTAATGGGATCCCATGCCCTCTTCTGGTGTGTCTGAAGACAGCAACAGTGTACTCATATAAATAAAATAAAATAAATAAATAAAATCTTAAAAAAAAAAAAGAAGAAAAAAAAAAAAAGAAAAGGAAACCTGCCTAAGATGCCTACTAAGGAAAATGTAACATATAATATACACATTGGAATGCTATTCAGCCATTAAAAATAATCCTATTATTTGTGACAGCACAGATGGAACTGGTGATAACTACATTAAGTGAAATAACCTAGGCACAGGAAGGTCAGTACCATGTGGTCTCAGTCCAATGTGGAATATAAAAAAGTTGATTTCTTAGAGAAAGTAAAAAGTTGGTTCCTAGAAGCAGGGGAGTGCAAGGGGATGGAGAGATACACAAAAAGATTGATAAATGAATACTAAGTTACAGTCAGACAGAAGCAGGACATTCTCATATACTATTACACAGTAGGATGACTAGATACAATAATTATGTACTATACATTTTAAAAAGCTTTATGAAAAGATTAATATTTTCACAATAAAAAAATGTTTCAGAATATGCACTGGTTCAAACAGTGTATTTATGTTTTAGAAACATCACATGGTACCCCATAAATACAGATAATTTATTTCTTGAGATTATAAAGGTCAGAAAAGAATGCTGGATCCTCTGGAGCTAGAGTTACAGCCCATAGTGAGCTGCCCAATGTGGGTGCTTGGATCAAATTTGGGTCTTCTGCAAAAGCAGTCATCTCTCCAGCCCCAATATGTAGAATTTTGATATTTGTATGCATCAATTTTTCCAAAGTTCAAATTAAAACCTACCAAGCGAAAAACAAAACAAGCAAAAAAATCTGAACCAAAATGCATTTTTGCATTCAGTTAAGCCAGGACTCTCAGTTCTCCCTGTACATGGCAATCTTCCTTACAGAACACATATGAAAGGACCCAGCACGCCTTAGAGCACTTTACCTACTTCTCACAGAATTCTTACAACAAATTTTCAGGCTGGGTGGTGGTGGCACACACCTTTAACTCAAGCACTTGGGAGGCAGAGGCAGGAGGATCTCTATGAGTTTGAGGCCAGCCTAATCTATAAAGTGAGTTCAAGGACAGCCAGAGCTACACACAACACACAAAACACACACACACACACACACACACACACACACACACACACACACACACACGCAAAAACAAAAAAAACAAACCTCTGTCTTCAAAAAACAAAAAATTGAAACCAAAACAAAACAAACCAACCAGAAAAGAGAATTGAGAATCAAGGTAGGCATATCCCCATATTACACATAAGGAATCGGGCTAAGAAGGTCAGTTAATATCCTTGGGAGGCCTGTTCTTTTTCTGAAGGGAAATGGAAGAGGAGTGGATGTAGAGAGGCTGGAAGGAGGGGAAACAGTGGTTGGGATGTAATATATAAGAGAAGAATTTTTAAAACAGCATCTCATGCATGCACATTCCAGATAGTACCTAGGCAGTGTTTTTTACTCTTCAGCACTTCATCTACACTTCAAAGTAACTACTTGAGGCAGGCATAAAGGGGGAATTTCGATGTCTTTCTGACACTAAATAACTTGCCCAAGCTCATACAACTGACATATAACCATTAGAATCACCCACTCACCTCTTCCTCTGGGGTTAGGTGCCGCTTACTATCACTGACAGGGAAACCGCTGCCAAATTCTTTGGAATGGATGTCAGCCCCATACTCCACAGTTACATCTTCCTCGATGCTATTCACCAGCCGCCAGAACTCCTTCTCTACAAGTTCTGTGGGTACCATCTGGAGGAACAGGATAGTAAATGACATGTTATCCTGTCCACATTAATTCAGGGAGGTACAGTACCAGTGCCTATGAACCTAGTCCCAGTACTACCCCAACCCTCCAGCACCTACATGCACAGGCATGTTGAAGTAGTCAGCTTTAAAGGAGTCAGCCATCTCTCCAAAGCTCTGAAGAGTATATTCCCGGGTAGCTTGTTCAAAGCCAAAGGCTTCAGGGGGCCGCTTACACTCCTGAAATCCAAAAGAGAAAAAAATCATAAAAATAGAGGCAGAGAGAAAATCATCTCAAGTAGAACTGAAACATGGGATAGAAGTAGGGAGAGAGAACTGCCCTCGGTCAGCCTTCTAGGATCTTAGGGCAAGCCTTGCTTTACAGCTCTATATATTCCTCTTTCCCACATCAGCTTATCATATGTATTCATGCCACATAAGCATTTCTCTCATACTTCTGCTCATTGTTAGGGTATGAAGTGTCCTTCCCAAAAAAGTTCACATATTAAAGACTTGGTCCCAAGATGGTAGTGCTATTTTGGAAAGTTCTACAGTCTTCAGGAGGTGAGGCCTAGTTGTAGAAAGTAGGTTGCGGGTTGAGTTCCTTGGAGGCAGTATCTTTGCCTAGCACTGTCTTTGTCTTTCTCTCTGCTTTCTAGCTGTCATGATGTGAGTCTACCATGATGGGCTAAAACCATGAGCCAAAAATCTTTTTTCCTTTAAACTGTTTCTCTCAAGGACTAGAGAGATAGCTCAGCAGTTAAGACCACTTGTTGCTCTTGCAGAAGACCCAGGTTCAATTCCCAATACCTACATAGTGCTCAAAACCACCTGTAACCCTAGACATCTTGGGTACTTGGCCCTCACTGACGCTTTTGTGACTCCTCCTTACTACACTATACCTACTGCCCTAGGCAATTTCTCTCCTGAATACCTCTGTTCCTACAAAATCCTGTTTCCCTACCTGGAACATGAACCAAATCTAAATACCATAAAAGGAGGAAAGCAAGTAATCATTATATCCATTTGATAACATTTCCTATCTTCATTTAATACAGAAAAAAGTATGATGTTAGAAGTCTTTATAAACTATAGAACAAGATTTTTTTAGAAGTGTCTTCAAGATAATTATATGTAAGAGAGAAAAAAGAAAATACTTGGGAATCAAAAGGGCATTTAGAAAGTTTTTATTTAGCTCTCTTGTTCCCCTTGACCCAGCACCTGCAGGTTGCTGTCTCCCCTCCTCCCCCTTCCCTTTCCCCTCTCTCCACATGGTCATGGCCGGCCTTTACTCCTCTACTTCTCTCTCTCCTCCCGCTCTCCCTCTCTCTTAATAAACTCCCTCTTATGGGAAAAAAAAAAAAAGTTTTTATTTCTAGCCAGGACTGATGGTGCAGCCCTACAATTCCAGTTACTTTGAAGGCTGACAGAGGACTCCAAATGTAAGGCCTACCTGGGCCACAAAGTGAATTTGAAACAAAAATAAAAAAATAATACACAGCCTGGAGATACAGCTCAGTGGTAGAGAGCACTTCTTTAGCATGTCCAAACCCCTAGGTTCAATAAATAGAAAGATGGTCTATCTATAGCTAGTTAATCCTATCATTTAAAGCTCATTCCTAATCACTACCCTTAATTTTCCTGGGCATGGTGGTTTGTACCCATAATCCCAGGCTCTGGCAGGCTGAAGAAGAATGGAATTTTGAGGCTAGCCTGTGCTACAGAATGAGATCCTATCTCAACTAAACAAACCAAACCGACCAATCAACCCACCCACCCACCTTTCCCTCTGGTTAACTACAACTCAGGGTTTCTAACATCAATTTTAACATCTGCTTACATGTCAGTACACAAAGTTCATCACCACACACAGTCCATCTAATTGTTATACCCCATAGATAGTCTGGGATCTCCCAGAGGACAGGAGCATAAATTACATCTCTATCTCACAAACTTCTACAAGCTTTAGGTCCCAAAACACAGTAATACTATGGCTGAGGTAGAAGGCTCCCCTTAGACTATACAAAGGCAGGCAAAGATATCCCATATGGACTGGGACTGGGAAGGCCTTACCGCCATGACACACTTTGGACACCTCCAGACACCTTTCGGGATTTCAGGCAAAGGAGGCAGCAGGCAAAAGATGTGGTAATTGTCATCACAGCCATCACACAGTAAGAGTTTGTCATCTTCATCTCCCCGGGAACACATTCGGCATACGTATGACTCAATCTGCCAGAGAAAATTAAAGGGTTATGAATATAGGCCCTGCCCAGTCTTCAAACACCAGGCCCCTCCAGACAATATCCTGTGCCAGAGAGTTCTCTGTTAGAAGCCAGAGGTGTTTGTTGGCTGGGTTGTTCATGGCCCTCAACAGGCTAGTCAAAGCCTGGAGTTCAGTTGCAAAGCATGTACTACTTTCCCCAGATAAATACAGATTATGAGAAGTCTTTATTAGTTTTCAATCTTCTCAGTTTTATTCATTCGATATTCAATCTTCTCAGTTTTATTCATTTGATAGACAGTGTTCTATGGAAGAGATTAAGAAAATCTGGTATCTGCCTTCAAGAGGCACACAGTACGCTAGAGTATTCATAAAAACTGAAAACTGCCATAGCGGCCCATAAGAAATATTTTGGGCACCTAGAGAAGGAAGCAGCACTCAGATTACTTAGAGATGAGGGAGAACTGCAAGGAAGTACTTCATTCTGAAGGGGACACTTGGAATAACTGAAACTTTTTTTGTTGTTTATTTTGCTTTTCGAGACAGGGTTTCTCTGTGTAGCCCTGGCTGTCCTGGAACTCACTCTGTAGACCAGGCTGGCCTTGAACTCAGAAATCCGCTTGCCTCTGGCTCCCAGGTGCCGGGATTAAAGGCGTGGGCCACCACTGCCCAGCGGAATAACTGAATCTTGAAAGCATACTGGTACTTGGCAATTGGAGCAGAGCACAAAGAGAAATTCTTTGAGGCAGAAAAAACTGTATGTCCAAGGAATGTAAGATTATAAAAGAAATATTGTTACACCTCTTGAAGAAAAAAAAATGAATATACCTACAAGTAGTTCAGAACAGCAATAGCTGAAAAGTGAGGTAGGCAGTGCTGGACAATGAGGTTAAAGGTCAGCAGGGACTGGATCATGCATGACAATGAAGATAATGAAGATCTTAGCCTTTATCCTGAAGCACTGGACAATAGGAGTTTCCTCCTAGCACTTTATGTGGACAGTAGCTATTTATTGTTTTGGGTTTTGTTCCAAATTAGCTGCCCTAGTTTCCCCCAATTAAGTAAGCTGCCTGCAGGCAGGGCCTTCTAAATCCACTTTACTACTTAATGCAACCTAGTCCAGTGCCATGCTGGAGAAATGCTCACTGAAGGGATGAGAAGCAGAGCTCTAGGAAGTCAGGGCTGGGTCCTTACAAACTGGGCATTGCTGTGGTTCCTTCGCAGCCTCATGGTCATCTTGGTGCAGGGCTCAGGGCTGTGACTCAGTTCCTCCTTGCCTTCTAGGAAGGTCTTGGGTGAGGCTGACTCCACCTTGACATCCCCACCTAATTCCTCCTTTACCACCACAGTGGGGGGACATTCAGGTCCCTCTTTATCTGTAGGAGAGAAAAGTAGCTCTAAATTTAAATCTGAAACATTTACAGTCCTGCCTCCTCCCTCCATATAAAGCTACCCCTAGTATCTTGGGCCTCACCTTTTTTCCGAAGAGTCTTATCTTTGGCCATTAGGCCCAGCCCCATCATCTTGGGGCCTGCTCCATATATCTGTAGCTTCTTCAGTTCTGGATTCTTTTCAATGTCTTCCTCTGTGGGTTCCGGCTACAAAGAAAGTAAATGAAATGAGTCAAGATTACTATTTGGAGCAGACTGTCCAATCCTAAAAGAAAAGCTCAGAACACACACACACACACACACAAGTTCATGCCAAGAACTAACAAATAGGCCAGGGTAAGAATTGAGAGCTACTTTTCGAAGACTACAGGTAGGTCCTCAGTCTTATCTTTAAAGGGCCACCAAGCTAACTCAGCAGGTTAAGGTGCTTGCTTGCCATCAAGCCTGACAACCTGAGCTGAATCCCTGGGACCCAGGTGGTAGACGGCAAGAGTCAACTCTAGTAAACTGTTCTCTAGTACATGCTTACCAAAGCAAAAACACAGATATACACATGTATACACCCACACAACAAATATAATAACAATGAAAAAAATTAGGGGTTCCTAAGGTCCCTTCTCTAGGTGAGGGAGCTATGAGTAGTTGACAGTTGCTGGGGCAAGGAGTAGTCACTTGCCCCAGCAACTCATGTCCTGGTGGATGACCACACACACCCATGTACAATAAGAAACACAAACTAAACTCAGTAGATTTAAAAATCTTTTTAAAAAGACATGAAGTTGGGGGATGTAACTGGAGGATCCAAGAGGGAGTAAGGGGTGGTGGTGCTAGGGTGTATATGATCAAGATACACTTTAAACAAACGTGAAATTTTCAAATAAATAACTATAAAAATTTCAGGAGCTAGAGAGATGGCTGAATTGTTAAGAGCACCCATGCAAACAGCTCACAATTAACTGTAATTAACCTGCAAATCTAGCTCCAAAGAATCAGACTCCTTCTGGCCTCTATGGGAAATTCATTCACATGCTCGTACTTCTCCATAACACAAAACACATCGCATACACATAATTAAAAAATAAGTCTAGGGACTGGAGAGATGATTATTCAGTGGTCAAGGGCACTGTGAGCTATTCTTCTAGGACCCAGGTTCAATTCCCAGCTCCCACATGGCAGCTCACAATAATCGGTAACTCCAGTTTGAGGGGACCCGACACCCTCTTCTGGCCTCCATGGATACCAGGCACACACATGGTACATAAACATACATGAAAGTAAACACCCATACACATAAAATTTTGTAAAACTCTAAACATAAAAAAGTTTTTAAAGAATTAAAAAAAAAGTGAAAAGAAATTAAAGGCAGAATCTCAGTTTTACCAATTATAAAATAAAAATATGAACTTCTACCTTTCCTGAATAAATGTAGCTACCATCTCTTATGAAAGAAGCCTCCCTTTATAGCAAATGAAAACTATCACAGAAAACCATAACTGGACATAATGCAGAGAGAGATCAATGGATCATGTGGAGCCCAGCCCCAGTGAATAAATCTGTATCATAGCTTTTGCATCTATGGCTCAGGGAATATTATGGAGGAAAATGAAAAAATTCTAAGAGCCAGAACACCAAGAAGTCTGCTGTGAAAGGCTCTCCTAAAAATGGCTGCATAAATAAGATCAGAACAATGGCATTATCAATGAAAATGTTAACACGAGATGGGAGGGGATTTCATGAGGACTCATCCCTAAACAAAGAACTACAGGCAAATACTGATAGCTAGGAGAAGAATTAACTTCTCCCAAGGATAAGTATCTTCATTTGGTTGTTCAATGGAGTGATCAACTTTTGAAAATAATATATATATAAAATATACATAAAATATATATATGAATGAGGAATTTGAGGGAGAGTAACTGGGAGTAGATGGAGGAAAGGGAGGAAGGAAATGATGCAATTAAGTCTACTTCAATTAAAAACATTAAACAAGCTGGGCGGTGGTGGCACACTCCTTTAATCCCAGCACTTGGGAGGCAGAGGCAGGTGGATTTCTGAGTTCGAGGCCAGCCTGGTCTACAGAGTGAGTTCCAGGACAGCCAGGGCTACACAGAGAAACCCTGTCTCAAAAAAACAAAAACAAAACAAACAAACAAACAAACACAGATCTCCAACTCAACTGAGTAGAGAAATGATCAAAATTTGCCAGAAAGGGCATGCTAATGCTTAAGAGCACAAAAGAAAGTACAACAGTGTTGCACAAGGCTTCAGTCAGCAAGTATGATTCTTTCCACCCCACAGCCCCTCTAAGTGCCAAGAAGAAAAGTACTCACATCAGGCTGTAGTCTCTTTGCCCGTCGTCCATAACTGTTGAACTTGGAAGGCTGCACAGACTGTCGAAGGGGGATGCTGTGGGGTTTATATTCCTTGTCTTTTTCCTCATTATCAAATGGGCGTGTGTTACACTGCTATGGATAAGTAAAGGGTAAGGCTCAGGGCACAAAACTTCAGCTCCCAAAGTAAAATCTTTTGGCCAAAGGACAAAGTTGTTGCTCATACCCCTGACCAACACCAATAGTCCCAGTTCAACTGGTCTTTATCGCTGACATCTTAGAAACTTTAAGAATTCTTTTTTGTTTTTTTCCCTTTCTTTCTTTTTTAACATTTACTTAGTGGTGTGTGTGTTTGTGTGTGTGTTATGTGTGTGGCATTTATGCCACAGTGGCATGCAAAAGTCATAGGACAACCCCTGGGACTCAGTTCTCTCCTTCCACCATGTGCATTCCAGGTCAAACTCAGGCCATCAAGCTTGGAAGCAAGCACATTAACCCAATGAATCATTTGCAAGTCACTAATGAAGCTTTTTCTTCTTTTCTCCTCCTACCTGCTCTGGTGAGGGAGGAGTGTGTGTGCTGGTAACTGAACCCAGGATTCTACAGATAAGTAAATATAGGACATTGATAATATACCTATCAGAAGACAAGAAAGTATCACTAGGAAAAGGTAAGGTCTAGTTTTTTCCATTCTCCAATCCATGGAACCAGTCTTATTAAGAATAGTCCCAGGACGAGGATCAGGGTCTGGTGAAGGGGCTGGAGGCGCCATGTCGGGCCGGGAAGGTGGCAAAAAGAAGCCCCTGAAACAGCCCAAGAAGCAGGCCAAGGAGATGGACGAGGAAGATAAAGCTTTCAAGCAGAAACAAAAGGAGGAACAGAAGAAACTCGAGGAGCTAAAAGCCAAGGCCGCGGGGAAGGGCCCCCTGGCCACAGGTGGAATTAAGAAATCTGGCAAAAAGTAAGCTGTTCCTCACATCGGAGGTGACGTGACCCTCCTCCTCCATCCCTATGTAACCATCTGGATTCCCTGCCATAACATCTTTGCCACCTAATAGCTAGGATGAAGTGTTATCCTGGAGCCTGTTGTTGTACATTGTAATAAACTTTTGTAAAAAAAAAACAATGAATAAAGTGAACAATGCAATGAAAAAAAAAAAAAAGAATAGTCCCAGGACTTAAGAAGCTGAGAAAAAGAGGATCAAGGGTTCAAGGCTAAGGGACTAGCAAAATAGCTCAGTGGGTACCTGGCTGTCAAGCCTGAGAATCTCAGTTCAACCCCAGGGACCCACATCGTGGAGAGAGAGAACAAAGTTCTCAAAGTTATCCTCGTACCTCCACATACATGGAAGCACACACAATAAACACAATTTATAAAGTTCAAGGTAGGGATCTGGGATACAGCTCAGTTAGTATTTACCTAACATGGAAAAACTCAGCATGGTGGTACATGCCTCTAATCTCAGTGACCTGGAAGGTGAAAGCAGAATGATCATGAGTTCGAGCTTGTCCTTGCCTACAAAGTTTGAGACCAGCCAGGGCTATAGGAGGATGCTGACTCAAAAGAAAATAAAAGAGAAAAATCTAAAACACAACAGGACATGGTAGCTGAAATCCCATACTTAGGGGACTGAAGGATTATAAATAAATTTCAAATAACCAAGTCACGTCCAGACTCCCCACCAAAAAGGAGTTTTAAGTCCAGTCTGAGCTACATGGTCAGTGGGCTAACTACATGGTAACTTCTAGGCCAGCCTGCCACCTATTAAGACCCTATGTCAAAATAAATTAAAAAAGAAAAAGAAACAAAAACAGAAGTATGCCAATATGTACCCACAGATCAAGACCTCCTTACTTCACTACAGCCTGGCATCCTTACCACAAGGTTGGCTCCAGACTGGTACATTTCATAGGGATAAACAATGCGTTCATAGTGAGAGCGTAGCAAGGAACCAATGTTTTTTCCAGGTGGATAGTTGAGGCGCTGAGCCACACGGGCCCATCGACGGTCCTTGCAGATAGTTTCATAACCACCTTCTTCCACCACAATCTGAAAGGAAGAGCAGGAAGGGACATGAGGCACTGTGTATGTGACCATGCAGAAGTAGGCCTACAGGAAGGGTACGGAAGACAACTGCAGCCTCTCATTTTACCAGAAGCTACCCCTTTTCCCAATCTCAAACTGCTGCAAGAGGTGGCAAAACACGCTGATGTGCTACCAGTCTACCCCTTCCACTATAGCCCAGAGACACAGTATCCAAACCAAAAGGGGTCCTAGAGTAGCATGGGTTTATTGAATATTTGAGAAAAACCTGTTCTTACTTTGCTGAGGCTATAGAGGTCCAAGATCCGCCGTTCTACATTGGGAATCTTTAAGGATGAGCCCTGGATCTCCCAGAATTTGGCAATCTGGTCCAAATAGTTCAGTTTCACTCTTGTCTGGGCCTAAAGGAGAAACGGCTCAAAAACACTGGCCACCACCTCCTACCATCACCCACCCATTACCATCAATATTCCATCCCACCCCTCCCCCCCAACACTCCACAGTGACCCATCTTCTGGCTTAAACTTAGGGGAAGAAAAAGGGAAGGAAGTAGACTTCTCCCAATGAAATGAGCTTTGGACTCTAGACAGGTCTTGGCCCTGCTTTTCTCTTGTTTCCCAGGAGAAGGTCATTAAAGTCTGTATATCTTTCCTCTCACTCTTATGATAAGGTTGTCTATATATTATTATATCTTGTAGTACAGATGAAAAAACATCACCAAAAGTTAATTCTCATAAGCCCCAAGATACATGAATATGAAATAGATGTAAGCTTTGCTGCATTTGAGCAAATGAGTACCACTTACTGCATCCCCTTATTTTTATTAGAAAATAAGTGCCAGGCATGGTATCTCACACCCATAATCCCAGCATTTGAAAAGTAGAGGCACGAAGATGAGTTCAAGTCTAGCCTCTATTACATAGGAGATTTGAGGCCTGCCTGGGTTACATGAGACACTGTCTCAGAAAACAAACAGTAGATATGGACTTAATTAAGAGTAGTGAGGACCACCTGGAAACTTCAGAATTGTATCTAAGTTCTACATAGGGCTCCAAAAAAGCATATTCATCTCCTTTTGCACGACACAAAATATTTCGTGGTGGCTGAATTATGAGAATGGCCTGGCTGGGCGGTGGTGGCACACGCCTTTAAATCTCAGCACTTGGGAGGCAGAGGCAGGCAGATTTCTGAGTTCGAGACCAGCCTGGTCTACAGAGTGAGTTCCAGGACAGCCAGAGCTACACAGAGAAACCCTGTCTCAAAAAAACCAAAAAAAAAAACTTTAAAAAAAAAGAGACAGAGAGAAAGAGAAAGAGAGAAAGAAAGAGAGAGAAAATGAGAGAGAATGCCCTGAAGCACTAAAATGATGTACTAGCTAACTCAAGATCTGATATGGATAAAGATCCTAGAACAAGACTGTCTATGCTTGCCAGAAATCTCACTGGCCTGAGAAGGGTTCCCAAAGGTCCTAAGTCTGTAACTTTATCACTTGAGTCCCAGGCCCTTTTCTAGAGAACCAGGTTAGTTGTAGATCAGTTCTTTGAGTCTTAGTTGAGAAGAATTAAGGCTAACTCATGGGAAGAAATGAACTAAAGCTCCTTGGCTGTGAAAATCCTTAAGGGGCAAAGAACACCTTCTATCTGAACCCCTTATCTTTCTAAACTTGGCCTCATCCCTGCTCCTTCCTTCCCTCATTAACTAGCATGAAATCTCTATAAGGCTGCCCTTGTTCGGTGCTAAGTAATACTTGCCCACAGCTGTACCAGCCAGACCTGGTTACATTTATTTCTCCAAGGATCTCATAGCACATACAACAGATTACTCTGGTTCTGACTTGAACAATATCTAGACTGAGTTTATGGCAGTAGTTCTTAGTGGGGAACAATTCTGTTCTATGCTTCATATACACCCACACATACCTACCCTATGACATACACACACACACACACACACACACACACACACACATTAGGGTACTGGCATTCAGTTGGGTCCAGTATTCTACTACAATATTTAATAAGGCTCAAAGGTACATATTAATGGGAATTAATTAATTAGTGGGAAGGGAACATGCATCTAACTTGCATTTTCTTTTTTTTAAAAGATTTATTTATTTTATGTATATAAGTGCACTGTCGCTTTCTTCAGACACACCACAAGAGGGCATCAGATCCCATTAGAGATGGTTGTGAGCCACCATGTGGTTACTGGGAATTGAAGTCAAGGACCTCTGGAAGAGCAGTCAGTGCTCTTAACCACTAAGCCATCTCTCCAGCCCATAACTTGTACCTTCTATGAAAAATTCTAGAACTGTACCCCAAAACCAGCTTTAGGATACCCACTCTCATCATCCCAGGACAGTCTCAAGCCTGACCCCTGCCCATGTCTGTAACTATTCTAGCCTCTACAAAGGCCAGTTCTTGTGTTCTTATACCTCACCATCCACTCTACCAAGTATCAAAGAAGGAAGGTAAGAAGCACAAAGCCATGGATAAATTAGATATATGAGGCTACACTACACTGGTTAAGGAAGGAAGGTCTCAGCCAGCCACATAGCTACCTTTTGCCCATCCAGGTAAGGTAGATATTTGATAAGGAAAATTCTTAAGTAACAAAATTTTATGGGGAAAAGAGCATCTCCAGCCTTTGAGATATCAAATCAAAAAAGTGAATTCCTGCCCTTCTATCTGGAGCTCCAAATCTTCTTCTATGTCCTGGGCATGCTTATTCTTTCTCCAAATCCCAACACCAGTCCCTAATCTCACCTCCAGCTCATTCAACCTCTGGATTCGGGGAGTAAACCTGAAGTTGTCCACTTCCACAGCAAAGGGTGGCTGCCAGTCCTAGGAGAACAAGAAAGGGGAAAGGAACTTGGGTTATCCTACTTTAATGCAAGATCAGACAGCATCAAAAGCAGTTCCATGATCCATTAGTACCTCCTAAAACTTCTAGCCACCTTAGATCTATCAACCTGGGAAACATCCAAATAGACCCATTCCCAACTCTTCCCAAAGCTTGTAACAGGGCATAAAAGTCCCTCAGACCCATATTCAAGGCCTCATGTACATGCCCTGGTAAACTTCTAAATCTTTCCCAACAGTACAGTGCTAGGATTTTGAGAAATATAAAAAGCTCTAAACAGTTAACCACAAACCCTCCTCATACCCACATTGTCAACCTTCCCTAGGCAGGACACATAAACTAGAGTTATACATAAACCATACAGGACCTACAGTCAGGAGATGTGGGTTCATGTTGTAGCTCTACTACTTACTAGCTATGAGATCTTACCTTTCTGAATCTGTAAGGTAGGTAGGTATATGAATTCTTGCCCTGGCTTCCTCACAAGACATTTGCTCTCTAAATCTGACCTCACCAGTGAATACACATGCAGGGTAGCTCAGCTCTGGTTCAGGCAGGGATTAACACTTCAGGTCATCAATGTCTGTTCTCTCAGTTAAAGACTCACAGAAGACACTGCAGGGAAGACCAAGGAAGATGAATCTGCACCTCTTACTCCCCAGGTCAGAAAGGCTTCCTGTGGGTCCTCTTTCATATACTTGCCTTCTATAAGAGGCAGACAAGGAAGTCTGGAAGTGAGTGGGAAGCCCAAAAGTGGTGGCAAAGAATGCAAGAATTTACGGAGGGGAAGCCAGGAAAAAAGTAATGAAAGCAGGGAAAGCTTTACCCTGCCAAGCTGGAGCTTTTTCTGTCCTACCCAAAAGATAGCTATGAAGACTCCCCTTCCGAATAGCCTCACGAATACTTTCCCGGAGAATCCTCTCTCCCCTGGAGCTCTGGTGCTTAAGAAATGGTTTGGTTTAAAAAAAAAAAAAAAAACTCTAGAATAACCTAGATCAATGTCTTCATTCTACAAATATGGAAAGTAAGGCTAGGAGAGGAAATCACATACTAGTTAGCAGTAGAGCCAACTCTAGAACCCATGTCCTCTGATCGCTGGTTCTTTGTACTATACCAAGCTACCAGCATTTACACACAAGTGAACACATATGAAAGGAGAGAAAAGGTATGGGAAAAGAAAGGGCTGTTGATCTTTGTATGCATGCTCTTTCTCTTAAAAAAGGAACCAAGAGCCTCATATTTGCAAGTGTACATGTTCTTCCCCAACCCACAGTAATAGACAGAAAGCACTTGAGGCTGACGGAAGCAGGAAGGGAAAAAAAGGCTAAAATGCTACAGCTTAAGCTCAGAGAAGCTCTTCACATCCTCTTACCTCCCATCAGACAACACTCCTCTCAGCACAGATAACCCAGGCAGAAAGGTGCTCAACCCCCAAACTCTAGGCCCCCCTTTCCCTGCTCAGCCAAGTTCTAATCAATGCAACATCAAGCACCTGACGGAGATTGCGGAACTAAAATCCTAAGGCAGGAGCTATAGGTCCAACAAACCTCTCATCTCAGTCCCATCTTAGTACAAATGCTCAAAATGATGGCATTTTAGAGCGTGGTGACAAATAGGATGGCTATCTAATTCAGGAAGTCGTATGATGCCCTCATTACTACCTGTCCTCCATCCATACCAAGTGTAGCAAGCAGCCACATGCTCTGAAACACAAATCCAAAACCACTCCTTTAAGACAAACTCCAATACCTACTCACACACAGGTTTACACCCTGGGCCAAAGAATCACTTGGGTGAGTAATTCAAGTCCCAAACAGAAGAAAGCCACCTTCTTTAAGGCCTAAAGGTGGTTTAAGAGAGTGTGTACACGCACACAAAATCATGAACAAAAACAAGAGTCAGATCTCTTGGACTAGAAAGAATCCTGCTGCCGGGCGGTGGCGCACGCCTTTAATCCCAGCACTTGGGAGGCAGAGGCAGGCAGATTTCTGAGTTCGGGCCAGCCTGGTCTACAGAGTGAATTCTAGGACAGCCAGAGCTACACAGAGAAACCCTGTCTCAAAAAAACCAAAAAAAAAAGAAGAAAGAAAGAAAAGAAAAAGGAATCCTGCTATTGGGGTAAAGAAAAGAAGCCTACCAAAGAACAGTCCCATGAGGATGGACGGACACACGGACACACTAGAGAGCGCATGCGCTCACACGTGAGTGCACATGCGCACATGCACGCACGCATGCACACACGCATGCACACACGCATGAATGCATGCATGCACGCACGCACGCACGCAAGATGTGCTTGTCATTCCTTCCATCCTGGGTCCCCAAGACAAGGTAAGAGAGCACCTACATAAGGCCAACCTTCCCAAAAGCCCAAGGAAATTCAGACCTCAATTATCCTCACATGAGGCTTCTCCTGACCACTTCAGGGAATATTCCCTTAAGGCCATCCAGGAGTCCAACCTTTCCTTTCTGCTGGCCTTCCTGGCCTGTCACTAATAGTTGTGACTCCCTCACAACAGCGCATCTTCAGACACCTGGACCTAGAGAATCCTTCTAAAACCAGCCTATGAACAACAAAGGGCAACAAAAGCATTAAAGTGGGTAAGAAGACCTAAGGTGCTCTCTCCTCAAGTGGGAATAAGGCTTCCACACCCTGAATCACCTCCTCGAAGATACATTGTTGCAGTCAAATTCAAACCAGCCCAGGAATCCCATGTGGTTACTAAACACTGTTCATCATTTTCTCTTCCAGTGTGTCAGCAAGGCAGCAGCCTGTCTTAGCCTTTGAAAAACTCCTGGTCTAGTCAGGACTAGAAGCAACGATATGATCCTTTTTGCTGAACATTGGGAACCAAAGGAAGATTTTCATATCACCACTATTGTTTCTGGGGACCCAAAAAGCCTTATCTTATAGGATTATCTACATTCTGGGCCAGAGGTAGAATCGAAATCTTCTGAGGACATACCAAGCTAACTGGTCTAAACTTCTCCATAGGAAGGCTGTGGGGACCATGTGCAAGAAGGTTCTGACATTGCCTTCAACTAGAAAACGGAACAATTTCTTAAACCCATGTCTGAGAAGCCAGAAAGAGCACTCCCTGTGAGAATGATTTCCTGACTGGTCCATCAGGCCAGGATATATTATCAGAGATGAATTGGCCTGACAGCGTGTGAGTAAACATGAGTCAACACACATAGGAGCAAACCAATGACCACATCAAGCACCTTCACAGTCACAGTAATTACCAGTTACCAGAGTGTACTATGTTACCTGGTTTAATCTAATTATTCCTAGCACACAATTCACAGGCTCAGGGATTACTTTACATGCCCAAGGTCATACAGCTGCTAACCTTCTAAGTAGTTTTAAACTCAGGTCTGACTCCCTTTCGAGATGTGATCTTTCCACTACACCACACAGCTTGCCTTAAAGGGAATAATGACAATAGTTGCTACTTTGTAACAGCCTCGACCAGAGTGATACAAAGTAAGAGATGGGAGTCTCTGTGCTTCCCTGCGAACTCTCCCCAACCCACTAAGCATCTGTGTATTGAATCAAGAGAAATTCTCAAGAGCAGGGTGGGAGTGGGTCTCAGATCCCAGGTCACTTGTATGCAACAAAACGAGGACCCCTGACCCCAGCAGGGGTCCTTCGCTTTGCGAGGCATCCACAAAATACCAGCCATCCCATATTCTTCCCACACCTGCTCCCCCCCGCCCGGGACTTCACCACTGGCTACCCGGATCCACCCACAAGCTCGCTGCTGGCGACCATCAGCTCCCGGCCTTACCGCGGGTGGGCGGATCTTGCAAATGCCGGACTTCTCGGCGATGGGTCTGATTTTCGCGATGTAGCCAAGAGGGTCTCGGAACTCGGCCCAGCTAGGCTCGAACACCGGACACTCCGGCGGCGGTAGGAAATCGTCGGACCCCAGCTCCATGGTGGGCCCGAGGGCTGGGCCAGAGATCGGGAGGGCTCAGGCAGCCCTTAAGGACTCATGGCGCCGCCGCTGTCTGAAACCGAGGCACTTCTCGGAGTCTAGGCCCTAAGCAGGACGGCCACCGCCCGTCTAGGGCTTAGGGGGGGCGGGTACCGTCCTCTAAAAGTCTCAGGCTGAGGTTTCGATTACCGGTTCTTAGTCCTGTTCCGTTTCTTCCACACCCTACCGCTGCCTCCTAACTACTGAAGCCTTCACTACTACACTTAAGTCCCAGTCGCGGCAGGTTTCATCGCTGCAACCGCCATCTTGGTTTGTCAGCGTCTCCTCCCCCCCACCTCTGTACCTCACCACAACAAACCAGATCCTTCCGCAAGGGGTCTCTCCGAGTTCCGTTTATTTTGAGTCAGAAAAAAACATAGGAGCCTTCACGCTGTGATGATCGAAAGAAATCGGGTTGTATATGCCCCCTATTTGGAGGTGGTTAGTTAAAAACATTTCTCAGGCTGAGAGAAAATAGTACACCTCATTGGCGGAGGAACAAAATTGTAATTTGGCACCGGATCCTTTTACCGGATGGACCGGCGGCGCACGTTTAAAGGCCAGTGATGCGCATGCGCAGTCTCTAGACAAACCGGAAGAGGAGCTAGTGTCCATAAGTAGTGATCCTGAACTGGTACGCACCCATGCACGCTCGCACACGCTCGCGCACGCGCACGCACACACCCTAGATCCCAAGCATGTTGTCAGCTCCTCCCCAATGTCCTTTGCTGCTTCTCCCAGGTCTTTTCAGTGTGAACCACGGAAGGCGGTGATTTCGAAGAATCTCCGCCCCCTTCCTCCCTCTCCCCCCTCCCTCCCATTCTGCGTGTCTGCTGCTGAGTGAAGATTTACCAGACTTACACCTCGGAGGGTTTTGTTTTTAAAGGAAAGTAGGAAGCTCCTCACTCCCAAGAGAATGTGGATTTTTAGAAGCTTCAGTCCCACATAGAGTAAAAATGCATTATTCTCCCCAGTGTCATTGGCGGTCAGCATTTTAATGAATGCTTTCAACTGTTCTGTGTACATTGTAACTAGATAAACACTTCATGTAATCATGTAATATGTGTGTATCCATTTGTGTAGCCACTACTGTTACAAAAAACAAAAGGCCTGGATGTTTGCATTTTTGTTTATTTCATGATAGAGGCTAAATAGGGAAGATTTTGACTCTGAGACCAGCCTGAGCTACACAGCAAGACCCTGTTTCACAAAGTAATAACAATAGTAGTAGTAGTAGTTGTTGTAGTAGTAGTAATGTTATTATTACTAATGGCCGGGCAGTAGGTGGTACATGCCTTTAATCCCAGCACTGGGGAGGCAGAGGTAGGCTACACAGTGAGTTCTTGTCTCAAAAAAAAAAAATTATGGCCAGGCATGGTGGCATACACCTTAATTTCAGTACTCAGGAGGCAGAGGTAGGTGAATCTCAGTGAGTTCAAGGACAGCCTGGTCTACAGAGCTACTTCCAGGATAGCAAGGATGGGGCTACACCCAATGTCAAAAACATAATAATAATAGTAACGATAATGTAAAGTAATAGAACTGGACAGGAGAAAAGTGAATAAAATTAAGGTTAGTAAGTTTGATGTTCCTCAGCTGAAGACATTTTGCTTTTCTACTTGAGGAACATCTCTGTAAAGAGTAAAGAACACTAGGCTTTTGGTCTCAGCACCACCCAGTCTTCCTCCAGTCTCCTCTACTGTCTTGAGCCTAGACATACCACAGGGTAAAAGGAAACTGAGCAGTCTTCTAAGCCAGTGATATTGAATCCATTAATTTGTATTTGTGAAAGTCATACTATGCAACAGGAACTTTTGTAAGCATGTGGAAATACAAAGGCATGCCTTCCTGGAACAGATATTTACTCACTGGGACCTGCCAAGTACCTCACTTCCCTGACCCTTGATTTTCTTGTTCATAAAATGAAGTTAAGGCCGGGCGGTGGTGGCGCACGCCTTTAATCCCAGCACTTGGGAGGCAGAGGCAGGCGGATTTCTGAGTTCGAGGCCAGCCTGGTCTACAGAGTGAGTTCCAGGACAGCCAGGGCTACACAGAGAAACCCTGTCTCAAAAAACCAAAAAAAAAAAAAAAATGAAGTTAAGTAATCCTTTCATTACTTAGGAAGATTAGATATAATGATGGCTGCCTTTCTTTAAGAGCCAAGTGCTGGGGAGTAGTATTCTCCCCATCTTGCAGATGAGAACGAAGCTCAGGTCCAATGTCACAGCTAGAAAGTGGCAGAGCCACAATTCAAACCTACAACTGCCTGACTCCCATAAATTCTGCCTGTGAAAGTCTCGAATGAAACTCGGATATGAAAGTTGCTCCCTTGGCCGGGCAGTGGTGGCACACACCTTTAATCCCAGCACTTGGGAGGCAGAGACAGGTGGAGTTCCAGGACAGAGTGAGTTCCAGGACAGCCAGGGCTATACAAAGAAACCCTGTCTCGAAAAATCCCCCCCCCAGAAAAAAGAAAAAAGAAAAAGAAAGTTGCTCCCTACACAGAAAAGTGTTTAGGAAACAAGTTCCTTTTCTAAGCTTCAAGTCTTGTTGAGGAACAATCAGAAACTGGGCACTGCAGGCTTCAGAATTTGGAAACAACAGGCTTCTGCCCTTGTGGTGAAAGCTGGTGTGGCCTCACCCAGCCATCTGGGAGAGAAAGGCTGTATAGAATGTATGCAGAGCAATAACACAAGGTCTTAGCTAAGTTCCCAACCACACCCTCCTCTCTTTTGTACATGAACTACATGAGAATGACACTGCTTTGGTGGTAGGGTAAAACCCAGTGCCCTAAACATAGAGCCTCATACCCTCTGAACGGGTGCTCTGATACTGAGCTCTCTTCCCAAACCCTATGGCTCTTTTTAATTTTGGTTTGTAAAATTTCAAAATAGATCTGAGTTGTCTTTTTTGTCATTGTTTGTTTGTTTGGTCTTTGTTTGCTTGTTTGTTTGACACGAAGTTTCATTTGCTATGCAGCCAAGGATGACTTTAAACTCCTGGTCCTCCTGTTTCTACCTCACAAGAACTGGGTTTACAGGCAGGAGCCACCATTCCCAACTCCCAAGTAGGTCTGGAATCCATCTCCTTCCCAACTCTACCACACCCTCCTCTACATCATGTGTGAGCCACTTACTATCTCTTTACTATGGATTTTTTTTTTTTTTGATTTTTCGAGACAGGGTTTCTCTGTATAGTCCTGGCTGTCCTGGAACTCACTCTGTAGACCAGGCTAGCCTCGAACTCTTGAACTCAGAAATCTGCCTGCCTCTGCCTCCCAAGTGCTGGGATTAAAGGTGTGCACCACCACTACCCGGCTACTATGGATTTTAAAAAGTTTTTTATTATTTTCATTATTTTATTTTATGTATATAGGTATTTTGCCTGAATATAGGTTTGTGTTTTTGGAGGACACTGAATCACCTTTTCTCTGGCTTTTCTTTTCTTTTCTTTTCTTTTCTTTTCTTTTCTTTTTTTCTCTTTTTTTAAGATGTAGTATCGCTATTATGTTGACCAGGCTGGTCTTGAGCTTGTGTACTCAAGCAATTCTACTATCACAGTCTTTTGAGTAGGTAGGACCACATCCAGATTCTACCCTGAACTAGTATAAGGATCCTAACAAGATATATGTGATAGTGAAAGAGTCAGAGAGAGACATACTCAGAGAGAAATATAGGTATATAGTATGTGCATAATAGATACTTAACCATAAAACCATACAATTCAACTAATTCAAAATGAATTATAACAGTAGATTATAAATTGATTAAAATATGGATTAAAATCCATAATTCTACACTGATATAGATAAAATTAGAGAAAAGGGAAAGTTTGTTCATTGTTCTTTTGATTTTCTTTGAGACAGGGTCTTATGTAACCCAGGTTGGCCTTGAACTCCTGATCGTCCTGCTTCCACCTCCCAAGTTCTGGGATTATTATGTGCCATTATACCTGTTAGCATTCTGTCTAAATTCCTCCCCACAGTTATCTGGCTGTTGCCTGACCCACTACAAAAGGGGCTGCTTGCCCCCTCCTCCCTCTCTTGATCTCTTGCTCCCTCTTGATCTCTTGTTCCTTTCTTACCCTCTTGGGTTCTTCCCCTCCCCCCTCCCTTCCCCATTTCCATCCCCCCTCTCTCTCCTCATACTCATGGCTGGCCTCTCTCTCTCTCTCTCTCTCTCTCTCTCTCTCTCTCTCTCTCTCTCCCTTTCTCTGCATCTACTACCATCTTAACTCCCCTCCCCATGCCCTGAATAAATTCTATTCTATACTATACTATAGTGTGGCTGGTCTCTCAGGGGGAAGGGATGACTCAGCATGGGCTCCCTGAGACACCCTCTTCCCCCATACCTGACTATACCTCCACTAGAACATATTCTTTTCTCTCTATCTTGTTATAAACATATCAATACCCATCTGAGAACATTCAGAATTCTAAACAAAAAAAATATGGAAGGAATAATGGAGTTAGGAAATTATCAATGAACACTGAAGCTTTTTCCAAATAAGATGACACTATTGACATGTATAATTTGAATGTCCAAATCTTAATCTCTTTCTTTTCGGGAGAGGAAATGAGATAGGTTCTCATCCTGTGGCCTAAACTATCCTAGTATTCACAATATTCTTCCTGCCTCATTCTACAAACATCTGAGATTAAACTTGTGAGACACCATGCCCTATCCAAACCCTGATTTTCAAACATTTTACTAGAAAGAATCTTTTTGTTTTGTTTTTTGAGACAGGGTTTCTCTGTATAGCCCTGGCTGTCCTGGAACTCACTCTGTAGAACAGGCTGGCCTCACTCAGAAATCTGCCTGCATCTGCCTCCCAAGTGATGGGATTAAAGGCATGCGCCACCTGCCCAGCAAGAATCTGTGTTTAAAAAAAAAAAAACAAGCCGGGTGGTGGTGGCACACATCTTTAAAACCTGATGTACTGGTTACTGGCTGGGGCAGGGGAATTATAAGATTATCTAAGGCCAGGTGGTGGTACACACCTTTAATCCCATCTCTCAGGAGGCAGAGGCAGAAGGTCTCTTGAGTTTGAGGCCAGCATGAACTACAAAGTGAGTTCCAGGACAATTAGGGCTACACAGAGAAACCATGTCTCAAAAAAAAAAAAAAAACAAAAAAAAAAAAGTGGTGCTCAGTCAAAGGACACAGGAGCTAGAGTCTATCTTCAGGCTAAATCTGGGCCATTTTGTGTTCATTGATTTTTTTTCTGTTTGTTGTTTGTTTGTTTTTATAATATTTGGGATTGAGTCTAAGACTAGTGTATGCTAGGCAACACTTCTATCACTAAATTCCTGGTTTATCTTCTATATCTTTTTCTCATTTGTTTGTTCTGAGACCAGGTTTCTCTGGGTGACCCTAGTTGTCCTGGACCTCACACTGTAGACCAGATCCAACCTGCCTCTGTCTTCTGAGTGCAGGGGTTACAGGTATGCACCACCACTAATACCACCCAGCTTTATGTCTTTTGCTTTTTAAGACAGGATCTCAGAGCTGGGCACCTTCTCTGTGAGCTCAAGGCCATTCTGGTCTACAAAACAAGTTCTAGACCTTGTCTCAAAGATTTTTTTAAAGGGGCAGGGAGGCTGGAGAGATGACTTAATGATTAAGACTACTGGCTGTTCTTCCCCAGATCCAGGTTCAATTCCCATGTGGCAGCTCATAATTGTTTGTAATTCTAGTTCTAGAGGATCCAATGCCCTCTTCTGGCCACAGGTACACATGTATACAGACATACATCACAGCAAGCCACCCCTACACGTAAGATGATAAAAATAACAATTAAAGACAGGGTCTTGGTTGCCCAGGCTGGTCTTGAACTCACTCTACAGTCCAGTGGCCCAAACTCGAACTTGTGGTCCTCTTTCCTCGGCCTCCAGAGTAGGTGGGATTACAGGCCTGTGCCACCATGCCCAGCTAACTCTGGGGCATTTTAGAAATTAAACTATTGATGTTAGTAGAGCCAGGTATGGTGGTATATGATTTTTCTCAGAACTTGAGAAATTGAGACAAGAGATCATAAGTTAGAGGGCAGCCTAGGCTACATACTAAGACCCAGATCTCATAAATTAAGAGGAAAAAAAGAGATCAGAAGGGATGGAAGGGGAGGAGAAAGGAAGAAAGAAAGAAGAGAGTTGGGAAAAGAATAGTAGGGATGGAGTTGAAGGAAGGAAGGAGAGAGAGAAGGGAGAAAAAGATTTATACCATTGCTGGTCTGTGGTGGTGCACGCCTTTAATCCCAGCACTTGGGAGGCAGAGGCAGGCAGATTTCTGAGTTCAAGGCCAGCCTGGTCTACAGAGTGAGTTCCAGGACAGCCAGGGCTACACAGAGAAACCCTGTCTCGAAAAACCAAAAAAAAAAAAAAAAAAAAAAAGATTTATACCATTAAAAAGAAGCAGTTTGCGCCAGGCGGTGGTGGCGCACACCTTTAGTCCCAGCACTTGGGAGGCAGAGGCAGGTGAATTTCTGAGTTCAAGAGTTTGAGGATCCTTATAAACTGATGGATAGGTATAGTGAGAGACCCTATTCCCAAAATAAGATGGAGAGCAATTGGGGAAGATATATGACATCAACCTCTTGTCTTTACATACATGTATGTATACACACACACACACACACACACACACACACACACACCCTGTGGCCCACTGTTCATACATCCTAGGAAATGTTTTCCTACCTTCTGCCATCCTGATACTACAAGACAGGGTCTGGTGTAGTCCAAGTCTCTCACCATACAGCTGATGGTAGAAGTTGGCCACCCTCCTCATGATGCTGATTAGTTTGGGTTTGGTTTAGTTGGGGGCTTTTTGAGACAGGGTCTCATGTGTATCTCTAACTTGCTTTCTAACTCAGGTCTCAGGTTGCTTTTGAATTCCTAATCTTCCAACAGAAGGCCTACAAGGACAGGGCTTTCCAGGCCTATATCACATTGTGATACTACATGACCTAGTCACCAGACATGAAGCTATAGAATGTAATGTTCACCTTACTGAGTTTTCAGTCTTGCTTTGATCCTATCCCTCCTTTCTATATGTACATTCATCCCTTGAAGAATGAGAATGTTTATTCTATACTACTGCTTTGGAATTCTGTAACTTTTTTTATTTTAAAAATTGCATTATGCCGGGCAGTGGTGGCACACGCCTTAAATCCCAGCACTTGGGAGGACAGCCAGGACTATACAGAGAAACCCTGTCTCAAAAAACCAAAAAAAAAAAAAACTGCATTAATTGTATGTGTGTGTGTGTGTGTGTGTGTGTGTGTGTGAGAGAGAGAGAGAGAGAGAGAGAGTGTGTGTGTGTGTGTGTGTGTGAGAGAGAGAGAGAGAGAGAGAGAGAGAGACAGACAGACAGACAGAGAGAGAGACTGAGTTTGGGTTGGACATACTGTGAAAGACTCCTAACTTTTGCACTTATTTCTGTAGGTAGCTGAGAACATGTGACTTCAGTCTGCAATGAGGTAAGCATTTCACATGCATTAGCTAACAACTGTCCTGCAAGATTTTTATCTCTGTTCTGGAGGTCAAAAACAAGGCTTTAAACATTCAGGTGAATTGCCAAAGAAGCACTTGATCAGTGGCCAATCTCTAGCTGAAGGTAGGAAAAAAAAAGGCTGAGACCAAGGATAGCCTAGCTTAGTCCACCAAGGAAGAAACCAAAACATGCTGAGTGGACTCCACATCTGGGCTCTTCACTCAGGTCCAGGTCAGAGAGAAACAGCACATGCTTCCATTGCTTTAGCTGCTGCTCTTGCTAGCTGTCTTCCCTGGGTAGCCTTTTCAGTGTGCTTTACCAAAAAGAAAACAAAAGCACTGATCCAAGAAATGTAGGGTCATAGAAATGATTCCCTTTTTCGAGACCTTTGTAGATTCTAGGAAAGCAGCAAAACTATCAACTGAACACTATGTCTGGGGACCCTGTTGACTCTAAGAGACATTGCTCTGCCCCATCATTCCTCCTGTGCTAGGCTGAAACCCAGGGCATAATTATTGGTGCTAGAAATGGGTCCATTCTACAGAGAAGCAGCTTGGGGCAGTGGAAATGGGTTTGGGCTACAAGTCAAGAAAACCTAATCTTGACTTACTATGTGGCCTCTTTCCTCGTAAATGAGAGACAGCTATTAGTTACTTAATATCCTAAGTATACATAGAGCTCATACAAAGTATCTAGACCTGGGCTTTTCTGCCCTCAAGAGCAAAAATATGGCCAGCCACTTCATGGAGGGCCAGTAGCAGAGGTTTCAAGACAAAACCAGGCCAGTTACAGGAAGAGGGAGAACAGAGGTCACATATTCTCCATATATCCAACCTCTACAAAGAAGATGAGAGAATTAACTTGCTGAATACCTGCTCCACCCTAGCTGCTTGGCATTCATGACTTCATGCTGTCATCACAATTCCATGACACTGTTTAAATAGCCTGGCATAAATGAAGATATTCTTTTTTTAAGGGGGGATTTATTTTTAATTATGTATATGTGTGTATCCATATGCGAGTATGTGCAAGCTTCATGGCGATAGCATAACAACACGTGATCATCCCAGGTAGTAAACTGAAGTAACAAACAGTTGGAAGATGATCCCCTGAAAGTCTTGTGCCTAAGTAAAACCTCCAGGATGTGAACTGGATCAACCCCAGAACCCACACTCCTGCCACTGTCATACAGACAATATGCGAAACAAGACAAGAAACCCCCACCCTCATTTACCCTCCTACCTAACCAAAGCATCTTGCCCACATAGTTGCCTGAATTACCATTAGTACATCCCCAGACTAGTGCCTCTCTCCATGGGCTCCACAGTAGGAAGGGGTCATAAGCAGGAGGCAGAGGCCAGAGGTGAGCACAAGGTCTTTTATGAGGCATCAAATATACATTCTTATATACAAGGAGGGAAAAAGACAATGCCTGAACCCCAGCTCCTCTCCATACAGTCCCCCCCACCACCAACGCCCTCCCACAACCCCAAGCCCCAGGGACCCTTTGACATAGAGGGCCCATCTGTCTGTCTGTATTGCAGCCCATACTGGACAGGGGAGAGAAGGCAGGGACTGTGAAAGGAGCTGAATGTAGGGCAAGAAGAGGAGCTGGGACTTGTAAAAAATATATTTATAATAAATAAACAGGGCTGCAAAAGGGCTAGCGAGGCAGTGGAGATTTGGATGAACAAGAGGGGCTTGGGCATTCTGGCTCGCAGCCCCTGCTCTGATGGCTTCAATCTCTGCCTCAGGAAGGACATCTTGGGCTCAGGGTGGTCCTTTGGGAGTCTTTCCCCAGGGCTGATGCTGGGTGCCCTGCCCCAGTGAGATATGTGTGGGTGATATCTGTAAAGTGCACTGTCTTCAGTTGAAGGTGGGAAAAATAGAAGGAAGGGGGGCATGCAATATGGGTGAGGGAGGGCAGTACCCTTCTCATCCCAGACCTGAGCCCCCCCCCCTCCCCTGCCTCCAAAGTAAAAACCTGTCTGGACTTTGATCAGGATAAGAACATTGCAGGGCAAGGCAAGTTCCTGAAGCCATAGAGGTCTGGGCTGGGACCTATTAGGAGAGAGGGCACAGACTGGCTCAAGAGAGGAAGCACTGCCCTCAGTGGGGGCCAGCACAAGCGGGGTTCCACCCACAGAGTGCACTGACAGTCTGTGTGTCCTCCAGCAGGCAGAAAGACACATGGAGGTGTGTGGCGAGGCCCTGAGGTCAGAGAGAGGGCTGCGCCAGCTGAGGTTTGGCCACAGCTCTACAGAGCTCTCTCCTAGCCCCACACAGCCAGAGGAGCTCTGGGGAAAGCCTTCACCACTGCAACTCCAGAAGCCTGCCTTCTCCACCAGCTTGCAAGGAAGCTCACATTTGCCCAGAGGTCTGAGGTCACCAACTGGACCTCCAGGGACAAGAAAGAGGAGAGGAAGACAGGAACAGGAGGATGAGGGCTGCCAAGAGGCCCTTACCACTTCCCAGCACTGCAGTGCCCTACGTTCAGGCTGCAAGTGGCAAGGGCCCTCCAATCTGAAAGGAAACCCCATGGCAACTGCTGGGGGTTGGAAGAAGGGTCTGGAGATACAGAGGAAGTGGAAAGAAGGACACTGCTGAGTGTATATATATTTTGGAAAAAAAAAAAAAAACGAGGAAGAAGAGAGGGGCAAGGTCCCTCTCCTGTGGATTTCCTCAGACTATCCTGTTCCCCAGTACACTCATCCCATTCCTCAGACCACAGTGCTGATCCGGCTTGGCTTGGCCTTGGGGTTTGCACTGGGTGGATTAGCCGTGCCAGGGGGCCCAGAGGCGTGCAGTGGGCCATGGGGGGAGGTGGGTGGTAGGGGTGAATGTGGGGTGTGAGGTGAGGGTGGGGGCAGGGGTGGGTAGGAGGGATGAGGTGGGATGGGTGAGTGTGGTGACAGTGGTGATTGGGGGTGGTGAGGGTGGGAGTAGGATCCCCCTGGTGGCCGGGACCCAGGGCCCCCAGCTGCACCTGCTGCTGGCATCATCTGTGGGTGGTGACTGAAGATGAAGTGCTTGGGACCCTGTTTATGGGCAGGAGGGTGCTGTGGAGCAGGACTGTACAGGGGTAATGGGGATGTGGGCTGGTGCAAGGGGTGGCGGCCATGTGGAGCAAACTGAGGGTGTCCTCCAGCCCCTCGTCTTGGGGCTCTGCCTGGCCGGCCCAAGGTATAATGCTGGGGTCCTGGAACTGGGCCATGGGCATGGAAGTGTCGATGTGGCCCCACAGGGGGGGCTGAGGCAGGTGGTGGTGGAATGGAGCCCAGCTGGGGTAGGGGTGGAGGCTGCTGAGGGGGTGGAGGCAGAGGAGGTTGCTGGGGTGGGAGGTAGGGTGGTGGGGCAGGGCCCGGTCCTTGGCAATACTGGGCATGCAGGGCCTGGAGCTTGGACTGCCCATCAGGTAGCACCCCCAGGCCACCATGGCTGTGACCATGGTGGTGGTGGTGATGGTGGTGGTGGGTGGAGGAAGCAGATGAAGACGAGGCAGAGGCCTGGCCTGTTGGCGGTGGTGGCATCTGGAAGGGCCCTTTGCCTCTCTTGCTTCCAAATAGGGAGCCCAGGAAAGATGAGGAGTTGGAGACTGGCCTCTGGCTCTTGTACTCCTCTGGCGGCGGGGGTGGGGGTGGAGGTGGCATCCTCTGGTGAGGGCGTGGACTGCTAATAACAGACCCCTAAAAGGGGGGAGGGGGGAAGTCAGGCCAGTCTAAATATCCTAAACCCCGACCCTAAATTCCACCCCTATCCCTGAAGCTGGAGCAACAGGGATCCCAAAGTAACAGTGGAAACCAAACAGCAGTCCTGTATCTGTGGCCAGCTCTGCTCCCAAGCTCTGTTGCCACATCCACTAGCTCAGTTGAACCTCAGAGGGCAGAGGAAAAATCAGTAGGACTTCCTTCACATGACCATTTCTCAGGCCAAAAAAATGTTAGGCCTAGAGAGGCAGAGTGACTGGCTCAGGGTCAAAAAAGCAGGATATGGAGGTTAAAGTTTCTTGAGGCCCAAATCCAAGGGCATCCCTATTTGGAGTTGGCCCTGGGGTTAAGAAGGGGCATGGGAGAGTGGAAGACAGACTGAGAGACAGGCAGAGTGAGGACAGACAGAGTTGAGGACAGATGGAGAAAGTGGTTGGCTGGGAGAGGCAGCCATATGGTTCCCAGCACGGAAGAGGGTCCCCCTCCTCCTCTGGGGCTCTATGGCCAGGGCAGGGCTCATGCAGAAATGAGTGGGGCAGGAGCTGACACTTACTTCGATGGTGCTGTCCAGCGATCCCACGCTGTTACGCCGCCCCCGCTTCCCTGCACCCACAAGCAAGGAGCCCAGCGTCAGAGCAGCAACCCTCCCTCCCCACCCTGCTGGGCTCCAGAGCTGGGCACCAGGCCTAGGTCCCTCCCAGGGACAGACACCCCATTGCCCCCTTCCCCCATTGAAGAGGGGGGAGGTAGGGAGGAAGAGAGGTTAAGAAGGAGGAAAGAAAGGAGGAAAAGATGGAGGAGAGGCAGTAAAGGAGAGACAGAAGAGGGAAGCGGAGAGGGGCTGAGTCTGTGGCCCCACTTCATACTCCCTGGCAGAAACCCTGGGCCCCACCTGTTCTGACCTGGCTACCAGGCCCCCTGTGGCATAGTTCCCAGGGCTCTGCTCTGAATGGTGTGTGTGTGTGTGTGTGTGTGTGTGTGTGTGTGTGTGTTGGAGGAAGGCTGACAGCCAGTGACAGGAGGCAAAGAGGACATCTGGTCCCACATCTCCCCAGCCAGGACAGGGGTCCAGAACACTTACCTGCATCAGAGAGGTCTCGCAGGGAACTACTGAGTGCACCCCGCTTGAGCCCATCGCCTGCCCCATAAGTATCCTCCAGACTACTGCGGGCCAGAGTCCCATTCACTGAGTCCTTTCCTCCTCCAGGCTGTGAGGCATTAGGCCGCATCATACCTTTCTGCTTTTCCAGCTCAGCTGGGTAGCAATGAAGAAAATGGGCAAAAGTCAAGAAGAGCATTAAGAAAGAGCCCACCTGGTTGACTACAGCCTTCCTCCTTTTTTTTCTTTCCTCCTTCTGGTCCCCAGGCTTCCTGCCCACTCCCACCCCCTAGTAGTAATTGTTTCCCCTAAACTGGAACTCTATCTTCAAAGCTCCTTAGGGGCCTAGCCCATCCTATGCCACCTACTTCTTTTTCCTCCCTTCCTACCCTCTCTGCTCCTTTTTGTTTTTTGTTTTTTGTTTTTTTGTTTTTTTGAGACAGGGTTTCTCTGTGTAGCCCTGGCTGTCCCGGAACTCACTCTGTAGACCAGGCTGGCCTTGAACTCAGAAATCCGCCTGCCTCTGCCTCCCAAGTGCTGGGATTTAAGGGGTGTGCCAACACTGCCTGGTATCTGCTCCCTTTTCATCTTCTTATCCTTCATTTTTTTTTTACCCTTTTGTGTTGCTTTGTAACACATGGCTCACAGTAAGGATGGGAAGGCCCTTCTAGCCTATGGTGAAGGACAGTCCTTTTAAAGTCCACTCAGTTCTCGAATGCCCTGCTTCAGAGCAAAGGAGCTCTTGGAGGAGCAGGGACATGAAATTGATTAGAAACAAACCCTCTAGTATATGCCAGACAGTATGCTGGGGACAGCATATACTTGATCCCTTTCTTTCCACATTCAGAACATCATCTACATTGTTCAGAAGAAACCGAGAATTGGAGAAGTTATAGTTTGCTCAGGGTCAGAAAGTTGAAATTTGTGAAGCCAACATTCTAGAAGCAGGTCTATCCTACTCTCCTGGCTCCCCTATACCCCAAGTGAGGTCAGGGAAACTCTGGCCTATCGGCTCTCTTGCTCTTTTGATATGGGGAACTTCTTACACTTCCCCAGGGAGCTCTGGAATCCAGTGAACTGACACTCTGCTTTGCTGAAGACCTATCAAGGAACTGACTACTGCTTCTCTTTCTCTCTGCCTTCTTTCTCCTTGATGCCATGTTACTTAGCTGGGACTGCTTAGCTTAGAGAAGAAAAGGCAAAAGAGAAGACCTGGAAAGCATTAGGAAGAATGATATAATTACTATTTTCCATTGTATATGACCAAACTAACTTGGTGCAGCCCCCAGGGATTGACCTGGACCTCAGTCAGGAACTGATATTGGGGAGAGAAGAGGAAATGGGGGATGGTATTTATTGAACATCATGGATGCACTGGAGATGCTTTTGCATCTCCCTTCCCATCCCTTCTTTTTTTCACTCTTTCATCTTCAATTCTCCCTTTCTTCTCCTCTTCCTCTTTCTTCTCTCTTGTAACAGAGACTCAATATATAGCCAAGGCTTGCCTGCAAACTTGAAATCTTCCTGCCTCAGCCTCCCTAGTGCTGGGGTTACAGGTGTGCAACTACTGTACCTGGCTCCTTGTCAAACTCTGTGAAGATTTCTTTATCCCTGTTTCATCTGAAGAAAGGTTCAGGGGGTGACAGAACTCACCTGTTTGCTCAAATAACAAGTAGCATACACGAAATCTGAAGCTACAGCCCTATCTCCTATGGCCTGAATCTTCTTTCTGATAACATTTAATAGAAGAAGAGTTGACTCATGATTAAAAGATGGGTTTGGAGGCCACCGCATAGATTCTCAAAGACTGGAATAATAACTGAGGTTAGGAAGTAATGACCCTTTTGTCACAGAAAGCATTCAGGCAGAAACTGAAGGGTTTCTGAAATAAGGATAGGGAGGTTGGACAAGCTAGCTCTCAACTCTATGGTTCTCAGAAGACAGGATTCTTGGTGTCTGTGAAGCACTGTATCAGGAGAGGGGAAGTAGTAGCTACTCACATTCCACACGGTACTTCTCCATCTCCTGCACCTCAGCAATGGACTCCCGCAGGTCAGAGGTAAAGCGTAGCCTGTCTTGGAGGCTAGGAGCATTAAAGATGATGAGGACTTTTCGTTCCCCTCCAGGTACCGCAGACAGTAACTTGATCCCAAACTGATAATCTGTGGCAATGAGAAGAGGCAGAAGAATTTGGATATTTCTGTCAACTTTGAATCAAAGTGGATAAGACAAGAAGCTGAGAAATTATACAACCCCCTATACATACACACACACACACACACACACACACACACACACACACACACACACACTGCTGCCAACCATCTCTGAGACAGAGTCACACTGTTTGGCTAGGCTAATTTCAAACTCCTGGGCTCAAGTATCTTTTCTGTCTCTTCTTCTCAAATGCTATCCTACAGGAATACATCACCTTGTCCATCTTGAAGATGATTTCTGTAGCACCCAACTCTGAAATGCCTTTTCTCTGCTCAAGCATCTTCAGTGGTTTCCCTTTGTCCCCAAACTCCTGGTAACCATGGCAACCTTATTCCTTATACTCCAAGAAGTAAAGGCAAATAGAATTCTGAACTGCTTTCTAGAAACCTTTTCCTCTGTCTCTCTGCCTCTCACAATGACTCTGCTCTCTTGAATGATACCCAATCATGCTCTTCTCAATACAGAACTTCTAAGCACAGTGTGACTGCCAACTCTTCTGCCCATTAAGGAACACACAAACATTGTTGTTCTGTGTTCTCCAGGAGCCACACCCAAATCATACTCCATTCTAATCTTCCTTTCATCCTCGAACCAGTAGATACTTTGAGGACTTTAACCCAGCTATAGAGGACTTCAGTGGCTGGTAGCTAGTATAGATGAAGGATGAACATGGGCTCTGATAAACCCCTGGGATGCATGCTAGGGTTCAAGGGGGGACTCACATGAATTCTGGAAGAGCTGCATATGCATTTCCACCAGGGGAAAGGACTGACGGAAGCTGTATGTCACCAAGATCTTCTTCTTCTGGAAAATTTTGGTGACCTTTGGCAAACAATGGTGGGGAAAAAATAAGAGGCAGGGTTTAGGGTGGGGGATTTCCAAATGATACCCATTTCTAGTAACCATCTTCCCCACCTATTCCTCGTAACAAGCATATGCACATAAGCACATATACCCACAAGGAAGAACTGAAACTTTAGGATCGGAGAGGTGGGAGAGAATGCAAGTTTGTGATATCATGACCATGCACAACAAGCATTTGCAACTCTTAAAGGAACTACATGAATGATGGTCCCTCCAGGAAGCCTGTCCTAATACCTCACATAGATTTCTGTTTCCATCTTCTGAGCTTCCAGGGTGTTGCTTTCATACCTCCTCTCTTGTCAGACAGGTAATTCTAAATATGTGATTATCCCTGCTGGCCTGGAGGGCAGGGGGGTTGGTGGGTCTAGTTTTCAGGTTTTCTCACTTACCCCAACTCCCACCATCCAAAAATAGCTTATAATGGCAACCTCTGCCTAGCCTTTGAACAGCATTAACAACCTCTCAATGACCAAAAGTCTTTAGCAAGTATTTAGGCATTTTAGATTCACCACTAACATAGCCTGGACAATCTGCAAGTGGCTATTTTATTCCATGTATTTTTGTATGCTGGGAAATGAAACCTGGGTCCAGACAATTGCTCTATCATTAAGCTACAGCCCCATCCCCTACAAATGGCTCTTCAAACAAAGGTTTGGTTTAGGTTGATTACAGTGCACAATCGTATCAAATACTTTCGAGCAGTGGTGTGGTGTGAGTGCTTGAGACAAGACCTCTATCATGTAGTCCAGTCTAATCTCAACGCTCTGTTCCTTTTGCCTCCACCTCCCAAATGCTTAGATTACAGGGGTTTATCAGCACACAATGTTGCAAAACACATATTAGGCCATTTGTTTGTGAGTTCCTGAGTACATGGGCTCAGTCTGATTTATCTCCATGTACTCAGTGTCTAGCACAGAGCTAGATAAAGCAAGGGTATCGTGCACGAAGGACATCTAACAGGGACTCAGCACCAGTGAGTCAAAATCAAAATCACATCTGATTTGAGAGGGGATCATCTCTTCCTCCCTCTTTTCTCTTATAGTGCTGGGAACGGAACCCAGATCCTTGCATATGCTAAACAAGCACTCCACTGCTGAATTGCATTGTCAGGCACTGACTTCCTGATTCGTCCTCTTTGACAACTCTAGGAGATAAGGGTTAGCACCACTTAGTGAAGCAAACCACTAAGGTTTGGAGAGGGTGTTGGAGGTATGTGGTTTAAAGCCATGATTCTTAACTAGAGATGATTTTGACCCCTGCTGCCATAGGATACAGAAAAACATCTGGAGAAGACATTGCTTTCTTTTCTTCTGTTCCTTTTCTTCCCTGAAGATGTTCCCTCCCTCTCTCACCCTTCCCTTTCTGTCTTTTTTTTTTTTTTTGGCTCTTCTCTGGAGAACACATTTTTGGTTGAAGGTTTGCTGCTGCCTTCTAGTAGGTATCCTAGGGCACTGCTAAACATACTACAACACACAAGACAGGCCCTTGAAAGAAAGAATTGCCTTTGCCTCAAAATATCAACAGTAGTGCCAAGATGGAGAAACACTAATGTGAAGAAGAGAAGACCAAGGAAGGAACAAGACTGTTGTTCTCGGGAGTACTGTCTCAGAGCAGAGGGAAAATACTTGCTCTTTGTGATCCCAAGAAACAGTGGAGAATGTAGAGTAAGATGTGAACCACATCAGGAGGCAGATTCTACCCAGCTGTGCTGACACACGCCTTTAATTCTAGCCAAGAGGCAGAGGCAGGTAGATTTCTGTGAGTTTGAGGCTAGCCTGGTGTACAGAGTGAATTACAGGACAGCCAGAACTATTCGGTGAGTTGTTTGTTTGTTTGTTTGTTTTTGTTTTTCGAGACAAGGTTTCTCTCTATAGTCCTGGCTGTTCTGGAACTCGATCTGTAGACCAGGCTGGCCTCGAACTCAGAAATCCACCTGCCTCTGCCTCCCAAGTGCTGGGATTAAAGGCCTGCGCCACCACCGCCCAGCTAGGTGAGTCTTTATTTTAAAAACAAAACAAAAAAACAACCCCTCCCCCCAAAATAACCAGATTCTAGTAGTCAGGGCTAAGCCACCTTGGAGAGTATAGCTCTTGCCTAGGAAATCCTGAAAAATCCCTTCTGATCTGTAGAATCCAACAAATCCTATCACTAAAAGATGGGTACCTCTGTACCAGTGATGTACTTTGTTTTAATCACTTCTAACATCAAGAAAACAGATAGGTTCACAGAGCCACAGATTGACAACCCTCTGTGCTACAGCACTGGACAGGGACATTTCCTATCACTTCCCAGATTACAAGTCTATTATTAGCCCCTGGTCCTCACATTTTCTGTCTCTGTGTGGCTCCTACAACATCAAAATGAAGGAAAAGGAGGGACAGAGATAGGCTATACCTTACTGGAGACCATGCAGATGGCATGCTGAGGCATTGTACCAACCACACTGGACACATCATGGTTTGCAATAGACCCAGCAGCTCTGCTGACTATCTCCCTCCCATTTCCTTCCGTACAATGCCCATACCACAAGGAGGTCATTGAAGAGGAAGACCTCCCGCTGGTGCAGCCCCAGCCTCTGGGGGCGGTTTGGATCTGGCACCTCATAGAGCTGGCAGCAGCAAACCAGTCGACGGTGAGGGAGTGACAGGACCTGGACAGGTGTGGAAAAGTGGTGGTTAACAAGGTCTCCCCATCGGTTTCAGGGCTCTGGTACCTTAACAAGGCATATCTGTCACTCTGATACAAAGAACATAAACATAAACAACTAAGTCCTTTAATCTTTCTTTAATCTTTCTGCTACCTTGTTTTTGTCCTTCTAGAATCTTCTGTCTGAAATGTTTTTCTTGCCCAGCCCAGCTATATTTTGTCCCTCTTTCACATCACAATTCCCAAGTTATTTTCCAAGAAGCCTTTCTGATTTCCCTTGACTTAAAATGGCCTCTCCCTGTTTTCTGTTCCTCTAAATTAGACTAGGAGGTAAAAGTATTATTTGTGTCTTTGTCTGGGAACCTCATTAATCTTTGAGTGCCCCTAAAGAGAGAGATTATGTCTGATTCAAATCTGTCTCTGGATCCGATCAGTGGTAAGGAATTCATAAATGTTTGCTAGCAATACTATATCTGCTTCTTAGCCACTATAGCTTGTCTTTCTTTACTTGGCTATCTTTACATAGATAAAAAGAAAATAGTCATACTGCACCTGTGATGGACTTTGCAATATACTAAATGCACTTATATAAAGAATCTCCCATAATCTGTACCACGATTCCTAAGGAATATCATATTTCCCATTTTATTTTACAGGTAAAGGGAATCTGGAGTTCGAGGGGGTGGGGTGGGGGTGGGAGTGGGGTCGGGGGAGCCGAAGTGACTTACCACACAATGATGCCTCCTACCCTGAAGTCACTTACCGGTTTCTTGCCAACAATCATGCGCTCCACAGCCTGCACCTGGGACACATGGTCATCGTTGGTTCTCAGTTCACGACCTTGGATGCGCTGGTAGATGCCTACCAGGAGGTCACGGGGGATGTCTTCACCATTGTCAACTCCTACATAGAAAGTATAACAAAGGAGTATGTCCCATCAATATAGAGGGTAGGCAGTAGGGGGTTCTCTATAATACCCCACACCCAGGCATAGGGATAGGAAGGTGCCTTTCAACAAAACAGCCAATTGCTTTTTTTTTTTTTTTTTTGTAGGGTAGGGATTTTGTCTAAACGACTTATAATACAGTGTAATTAAAACAACCAGGTACTACTTTTTATCTTCCTTTTGCCCCTCTTAACTGGGAATAGTACTTTCAAATGATATACAGAGTTATTAAGAGTCTGAGCAGGTTGGCATATCTACTGATATCACAGTTTCAGAAATGAATCTAGAAAGACTGTAAATATTCAATCCCATCAACTCCTTTCCAAAACAATATATCCTAAGGGATTATTCAGAAATATTTGTGAGATTGATGTTGAAGAATGTTCACCAAGTGGTATTTATGGAGAAATTCTGAAGCAGCTTAATTTCTAACAATAGAGAAATAGCTAAGTAAAGGATAGTTTGTCTATAAACTTGATATTTACCAAAATATTTCAATACTATGAGAAAATTCTTATAGCAAGTTAAGTGGCCAGGCAGTGGTAGCACACGCCTTTAATCCCAGTACTTGGGAGGCAGAGATAGGTAGATTTCTGAGTTCGAGGCAAGCCTGGTCCTGAGTTCCAGGACAGCCAAGGCTATACAAAGAAACCCTGTCTCGAAAAACAAAACAAAACACAAAAGCAAGTTAAGTGAAAAGAAGATAATAAACTACTTGAAAGCCAGAGAGATAACTGAGCAGGTAAGGTTGCCTGCTGCCAAGTCTGACAGCTTGAGTTCCATCCCCAGAATTTATTTGGTGGAAGAAGAGAAACACTTCTTGCAAGTTGTCCTCTGACCTCCATATGAACAATTATGGCATGTGAATGCCCACATCTATAGCATGTACAAACACCCCACACAAATAAGCAAATAGATGTAATGAAAAAATAATTTTGGCACTGCTGAGCATTAAACTCAGGGTCTCATGATAGCCCCATGTCCCTCATTCCTAAAATAAACATGTTTTACTTTCATTTGTTTGTTTGCTTATTTATTCAATAACTGAAGGAAATATATAGTCATATGTGTACATGCACGCATGCACACACATACACACATGCACACAATCATCTCTCCAAGTCAGATTAATAAAATGAAATTGCCAGATGCCTTTAGTCCCAGCACTCGGGAGGCAGAGGCAGACAGATCTCTGAGTTGGTCTACAGAGCAAGTTCTAGAATAGCCCCATCTTGAAAAACAAACAAACAAACAAACAAACAAACCCATTCCTCCATATCTATGGGAGATTGGTTCCAAGATCTTCTATCAATACCCAAATCCAAAGATGCTCATATCTCATATATAAAATTGTATAGTCAAGTATGGTTGCCACGTGGTAAGGTTTTGGTCTCAAAAAATGGGGGAGTATTTTCATATAGCCTACATACATTCTTCTGTTACTTTTAACTCATCTGTATATTACTTACAATACCTACTTCAATGTTAATGTCATGTAAATGATGGTTTTACTATATGACTTAGGGAATAATGACAAGAAAAAGGGTTGTACATGTTCAGTACAGACCCAAGTTGTTGTTTTTTTTTCCCCCAGAACTTTTCAATCTACAGCTGGTTGAATTCATGGATGCAGAGCTCAGAGATATGGAGGGCTGCCTGTATATTTGGTGTGCATACGTATATGGATGAATGAATGATGGCAAGATTACAGGAAATAGCTCTGGCTGCCCTCTGATCTAATTCCCCTTCTTAAGTCTACCATCTTTCTCCACTCTTGACTATGTGCTGAATGAAATTTTCTCGCTCTTCTTTTTAAGGCTTCTGCTAGGGAAAAAAAATGACTTCTCCTTTGGAATTACTATACTTCTTCCCTGGATAAGTGCTAAAGGTCCATTCTTCTCCCTGCTGCCTTTTTCACTGTAGCTACCAGACAGCTTAAAGCCTTCAACTACGTGTTTATGACAGTCAGCAACTTTGTCTTGTTCTCCCCATCTCTATTTCGCTGTTTCAATGCTTTTGAAATAATCACAATATCTGTGTCATTTTAAGTAGATTGCTTTTTGGTGAGAGCTAGGGCTTGACATCAATACAATAAACCAAGAGAAAAGATCAGAGTGACACCGTTTATCTGGCACAGGAGGATCTCAGAGTGGATCCATCTGACCTTCTCAAGTGTTCATCTACCCCATCTCAGTTGTTTCTCTTAAGAACTTCACATTTTCTCCCCCCCCCCCAGCCTTTGTTGTTCTTTCTGCTAAGTGAGTTCCCCTCAATTTTCAGTCTGTCACCTTTAAGGCTCACTGTAAAGAACAAGCCCTCCAGGAAGTCTGTAGGTGGTGATTGCTCTGCTTGTCTTTTGGCCCTTTTGACATCACTGTTTGCTTTCTGTCTTACCTTGGTTATCTAGGCACTACATTTCAATCTCTCTAGCAAAGAGAGAAAAGACTATAGCAGCCTCCCCTCCATTGTCCTCTGTACTCATTTTACTTGGTACACATTAAGCATTCAGTAAGTGTCCACTGGCTGAGTTGTTTGGTTGGCTAAATGAATAAACAAATGGAGAAAAAGGTATCTAAAGTAATCAAATTAGTCTTTGTAGGTATAAATAGGGAAGACAAGGAGAGAGATAACAAGAAATAGATGAAGGAATAACTGAGTGAGTTAAACAGTTTAAGAGCCAGGCTGTTTTGTTTTGTTTTGTGAGCCAGAGTCAAATTCTATAGCCTGAGTCAATACTTAACAAATAGTTGATCTGGGGGTGAGTACAGAGACAAATGTTTTTCTTTACAGCACTGGAAATCAAACTCAGAGCCTTGCATATGCTAGGTAAGCACTCAGCTGCTAAGTTTGCCACACAGCCTGGCAAATAACTTTTGATAAATTTGAATGAATTAATAAGTGAATGCCCTGGGGAAGTCCAGCCATGAGATAAAGTGACAGCATAGAAAAAGGCTAATAAGGACATCTGGGATTTCTCTCACCCCACTCCCATCCCCACCCTCTTTACTTTTCTCAGATGATGTGCAAGAAAAATAGATGGGAAATTCTGGTCACCTCTCAGGTTCTTAATGAAGTCATCCAGCTTCATCTTGCGCTCAGCCTTGACACTGGGGCTGTACATATCAGTATTGAGGAGGATGATGGCAAAAGCAAGGATGAAGATGGTGTCTGGGTTCCGGAACTGGCGTACAAGGGCAGGGTTACAGACACAGTACCGCTGGCTGTGAGACAAGAAGGGTTAAATCCAGACTCAGGTGCCAGCAATTTCCACCTACCCACCCAGGTTGCCATCACAAACCCTTTCCTTCAAGAAACACTCCCTAAGCATTTGGAGTCTGTCCTTTTCATTTTCTCCAGTATCATCATGAAAAAATCGTAACCACTACCTTCTTGGAACGTTTCCAGGAGATTTATGTACATTGTCTTATGCAATTCATCACAGTACTGCATGGATGCTATTTCCCCATTTCTTTCTGCCTGTAGTCCTGAGGATTGAGCCTTGGGCCTTGAGCATGCTAAGCATATGCTCTACCACTGAACCACACCTCCAATTCCCAAGCTGTCCTATTTTACACAGGAAATAATGGAGGCTTGAAGTGATAAGGTAACTTGCCCAGTCAATAGAGCTGGTGAATGGTAAAGCCAGCCGGGATAAAAAAACATCATCTGGCTTCAAAGCAAATCTTCCTCCACCTCTCCTGACAAAAGCTCCAAAGGGGGTGGAGCAAGATTTAGCCCCATTTCTGTCTGATCTTCAAAGCATTTAGAGCTAAGCATAGATAATATGGAGTTAGGTACACTCAAGTTTAAACCCTGGTTCAGCTAACTTACTCTAATGCCCCTGAATTTTAGATTTGTCATCTACAAAACGAAAATACCAGTAGAAGGATCTACCTCACAGAATGGTAGCCTTTTTGTCTTCAATACTGGGCACAGAAACCAGAGACTCATAGTCATAACAACTGGCAAATGCTCTGTCACTGACTTACGCACCCAGATTCATGACTGCTATCATTTATTGCTGATCTTATCACTTATTAATATACCTATATCTCAGATGCTAGAGCTAGATACTTCATATTCACTGCCCCTGAACCTTACAAATGCCTCTTAAGATGAGATTTATCATTTCTGAATTTTCGTTTGTTTGGTTAGGTTCTGTTTTGTTTTTTTGAGACAGGGTCTCTCAGTGTACTCCAGGCTGTCCTGGAACTCACTATGTAGACCAGGCTGGCCTCGAACTCAGAGATCTACCTGCCTCTTCCTCACCATACCTTTGTTTCTGTTTTATGGCAAGAAAATTGTAATGCTCAGAGAGTATCGTCTTGCGGAAATAGGGCCCCATGGTAGAAAGGGGCAGCTTCAGGAGTGGGAAGCAGGCACACCTGAAAGCTTCAATGAGTCGCTCCACTTTCTGGGCCTCACCCTGAACTCGGATATGGGATTGGAACTTCCTGAGTGCATCGTCCAAATCCATAGAGGAGAAGTCCATCTCATCCACCACACAGCTGAAGAGTAAAGAAGCAGGGTGGGTGGTGGCACTCTTCATTTCTCTACACAAACCACCGACGCACCCACTTGCATAAGCAGCCCAATACTCCCACTGACAGACTCCCACAAATTGGACCTACAACCATAACAAGTATCACATCTGAGGAGAGAATGTTTGAAACTCAAGAAAATTGAAGGCACATGGTCACTACGAGTGCTTTCCCTTAATCTATTCATTTTAGTGACAGGAAACTGAAGCCCAAAGCAAACTGTTAGATGAATATGCCCTGCCCAGAACCACCCTTAGGAGAGTTTAGGAATAGGGTCAAAAGAAATAAGACCCTTTTGGAGCAGAGGGGTATGGGAACAGGAAAATCTATTCATATTGTTTTGAAAGTTTATCTGAGCAAAAAAGACAGACTGCCCCCTTCCTCCTCCCTCCTGCCTTCCTTTTTCCAGGAATCCCTGGCCCGCCTGCCCCATGCTGGGGTCCTCACTCCAACACATCTCTGTTGAATTGCTTCTGCCGGTTCCCCAGGAATTCCCCTATCATCTGCCGGCTCAGGCCTTTCCGCTCAAGGATGAAGTGAGCCACTCCCACAGGAGTGTCTGACAGGAAGCCTCGCTCGATCAAATACTGGATACCTTTCTCTGGCTTCCTGCAGAAAGAGAGAAGGTAGATGAGACAGTTGTTCCTCTAGAACTGCACCTGGTCCTATTTCTAGAACTGATTCAGAGCTGGACTAACCAGGGCTTCAGAGAGCCAAGGATCAATCATGTGGTCAATTCCTTCAGGGTACAGATGAAAACATTGCAGCACAAGAAGAGACTACTTTCCCATTTCACAGAGTTTCACAATTCCAAGGTATCCTTACACTAATTTCCTCTTTTACCTGAGGCATACCACAGTTAGGAAAAACAAAAAACAACAACAAAAAAAAAAACAAAACAGGACACTCTCTGCAGGAATTATGATAGGCCCAGCAATCATCAGAGAGTCTTGAGAGGGGGCCTGAATTCTAGACCAAGACTGCTTCCCTGAGTCACAGACCCTCAGGACAGGGAAGAAGGAAAGAGGTTACTTTGTTCCATGTCCTACATCATTCCCAGCCTCTGTGACTGTTTCTACAGACAAGGCACCTCCACTGTTTTTGGAGAGTGGGGCCAAAAACCTCTTGGTTGGACTTGTCCCATATGCCGAACTTGAGTGCCTTAGGAAGGCCTCCATAAAACTAAAATTTGCAAGTTTGGACTTTGATGTTCTAGGGGTCTCTGAGCAATCATTTTCTAACTGCATGGCTTTGGACAACTTCAGTTCTTTATCTCTAAAATAAGAATATTACAATGAATCTCACTGAAGTTATTGTGAAAATTAAATATAGGTGGCAGTGTTTAACAGACTAAAAAGATGCGAAGTATTACATCAAATGCCTTTCATTCTATCTAATGTTTTCTAATTGCATCTTATGTTTTCTAATTATTTTCTAATCAAATGCCACACTCTCGTCCTCATTCCTAAGCACCTGGCACAGAACCAGGCACTTAGAAAGAGCTTAGTCACCGTTAGTCACTTCAGCCTGCCACCAAATACACAACCCTACTTACAGAAAGATGAAAAATCTGAAGTCCAAAGAAGGAACACAAGTTATCTAAGACTAGACGACGAGTGAGCAAAGGCAGACTAGGGGTCCTGGTCTAGAGTTCATTATTTTCCAGATTGCCTCCCCCTCTAAAAAGGGAGAATATGGAGGACAATGCCCAGAAGCCATTTGGGGAAAACATCTTGCTCAAAATCACACAAACAGATACTGAAAGCACTAGGACCTGAACACAGGCGTGTTGGGAGTCTCTCTATTCTGTTACTCTGAGTTTTTTCTTCTTCTTTGTTTCTTACTTTGGTTAGCTATCTTTTGAGACAGGGTCTTACTTTGTAGCCTAGGCTGGCCTGGTGGTCACAACAGAGCCCAGGCTATCTTCTATCTTGTGGCAATCCCTTTCACTCAAGCCTACAGAGTGCTAAGATTTACAAGTGTGAGTTACTACATCCACCTTCTGCTGTCCTTCTCATCCCCGGACATCTGGGAAGAAATACCATTTCATCAAATGCCAGGATGGCAGAACCAAGGTCACTGCTTGGAGCTAGCCTCTAAAACAAGGTGCCCATGCAGGGTGGAAAGAGGCAAGAAAGCTAGAACCAAGAGCACATACTTATTGAAGAGGTTGAGGCCAATTCTGTAATGCCGCCTTTGTACCACATCATTGTTGAAGGCTGGCGAGTCCCAGCTGTGCCTTGTCTCCCGCTGGTAGGTCTGCTTGCAGAGGCTAGTGGCTGGAGGTTCCCTCAGGCTATCCCGAGAGGAGGAGCCAGAGCTGCAGTTGATGGTCTCATTAGAGTTGCTGGAGCTCTCAAGGCTTTCATTGTCTCCACCATCAGAGTTCTCACCTGCTGCCTCACACTTCCCCAACCTCCGACCTCCAGCCACACCACTGGGCCCAGTACCACTATTGGGGGCTGGTGGCAGGGGCCCTGGTGGGGCTGGAGCTGGACCCTCAGGGGCAGGGTAATGGCGGTGTGGGATGGGGGCCCTGCCTGGTGGCCCCTTGTGCTTCAGGGTCCCATGGGGGCTGCAGCCATCAGCCTCATACACCAGCTGGCGGTGGACAGAGCCGCGATCTGAGCGGTCACTCAGGTCTACAGAACTGTCACTGGGAGGCTCAATGGTGAGGAGGGGGAGGTGTGCAGCCCGGAGCCGGAAATCCCGGCACTCCAAGCACCCAGGACCCCTTCGGGTGCCTTCCTCACGGCTACCATCTTCCCGGGTCCCTGGTGGCATTGGTGGAGGAACTGGTGGGAGGGGAGCTGGTGCCCAGAACTCAGGGCGGCCTTGGGGTGGGGGCTCTGTGCTGGGCAGTCGCTCAGGTGATGGAGGAGGAACTGGGTCATCCAAGTAGAGGGGGAGGTCACTGAAGGATGTGGCTGAGCTGTCTTCTTGCTGTTCCTTTGATTCCCGTTTCTCCAGTTGGGCTGACCCTGGCTCCTCAGACATAGGCCCTGATGGGTGGCAGTTCAGGGCCTCATCAATGGATTCAGCCAAAGACTTTACCTGTACACAGTGAAAGGTGAAAAGAGAAAGGAATCATAAAGAGAGGAATGGTACAAGGGTCAAAAGGTGAGAAGAAGGGAAGGGAAGGCAGGGAAAGCTTCCTGGTGGGTCAGCCAAGAAAGCAGATCCTTTGCCATAGGTTCTTTATCTTAAATGTTTAAAATACATATTTAGTGTGTGTGTGTGTGTGTGTGCATGCATGTGTGTGAATGTTTTGCCTGTATATGTCTGTGCATCACATGTGTGTGTGGTGCTAGTGGAGGCCATCAAACCCCCTGGAACTGGAGTCACAGAGGGTCATGAGCCATCATGTGGGTGCTGGGAACCAAACCCAGGTCTGCCATCTTTTCAGCCCCTTATTATTTCTTTTATACACACACACACACACACACACACACACATATATATATATATTTTATTGAAAATAATTTTTTTCAGCCGGGCAGTGGTGGCACACACCTTTAATCCCAGCATTTGGGAGGCAGAGACAGGTGAATTTCTGAGTTCGAGGCCAGCCTGGTCTACAGAGTGAGTTCCAGGACAGCCTGGACTATACAGAGAAACCCTGTCTCGAAAAACCAAAAAAAGAACAAAAAATAAAAATAATTTTTTTCATACAATATATTCTGACCATAATTTCCCCCAACTCCTCCCAGATCCCCCCTACCCATCCAACCCCCATGCCTTCTTAGAAAAATAACTTTTAAAAGGACAAAAAAAAGCACAAGAAACACAGACAGACATCTAATAAAAACCCATGAAACACAAAATTGGAAACCATAATACACAAGCAAAAGACCAGTAAGACAAAAAAATATGTCCAAACAAAGCAGTATGAGATAAAAAGTCTACAAAATACCATTGAGTTCATTGTGTGTTGTCCACTTAGTCCCTTATTTTAAACTTTATTATTATTTTTTAAAGGTTGCAAAGAATCCCATAGGTTCTTACTAGTTTGTAAAATAACTCTCTGGGAATCACTGTGAGTTCACAGAAGCTAGGACTAACATTGACAAAATGCCTTCTTGGGCACTCCAGTATCCCCATCTCCATATCAAATGCTCCCTTCTCCCTGATTCAAGCCACACTCTTACCTCTGTCCTATAGGCTCAGTTTCCATCCAGGGAAAACCCCAAATCTCAGCTTCCTCCCAGAGCTCTCTGTGTGAAACTCTCTTAGGAAATCCAAAATATTTACTCTTGAGAAAATGAACACCTAGTAACTCTGTCTCCAGGTGTACTCAGCTTCCAAACTGGCCCCAGTGATCTCTACCTCCTGGTATTCATAATCTTTGATATCACACTGTATTAAAATTGGTCTGTGTGGCTCACACAACACATGGTAGAAGTGCAGGCATATCATTCTGGAATGACACTGGCAAGTACTGCAAATTCTGTCTTACATGCTCTTTGACTTGTATTCTTTCAGACTCCTCATGGAACCAAAGCCACACTGTGAACAGTCCTGAAAGGGACTGCCAACAAAGGAGAAAATTGAGCACAGAAGCAGACCTGCCAGCCCCAGTCCAATCTTCTGAGATTGGGTCCTACACAGCTTAACAGCAGCATCCTGAGAGACCTGGAAACAGAATCATCCAGCCACACCCCTCACAGCTTCCTGGCCCTCAGAAAGTGCATAAGATAATAAATGATTGTTGTTGTGTGTGGTGACACACTTGTAATTATACTCCAGAGGCTAAGGCCAGCCTGGGCTACACAATGCTACTCTGTTCAGAAGAAAAATAAAGAAAAGAGACCGTTTGTTGTTCAAGCTCAGTTCTAATCTCAGGTTCTTTATTTATTTTGAAGTCTGTTATGACTGTATGTGTGAGTACATGATGTGTGGGTGTAGGTACAGAAGCCACAGCATTGTGTAGAGTCAGAGGACAACTTTGTGGCACTTCTTCCTCTTTCCGCCCTTCCGTAGGTTCCAGGGTTTGAATTCAGGTCTCCACGACTGCACACCAAACACCTTTACCCCCTGAGCCATCTCACTGAGTCTCTTTGATTTATACTCTGACCCCTAAGGTCAGATTTAAATTACTACATTTTGGGGGGTAGTTTGCTGTACAGCAATAGGTATAATACATTTTCCCCCAATCTGACTTAGATAGCAATCAGGCCTGGTTCTTCTCTCTTTTCCATCAGATGGTATTTTCCTGTTCTTTATCCTTCCCTTGAGGGATAGGTGCGAGCCCAGTTTCTATTTTAGATCAGCTACTGCTTGACATAGAAAAGATGCTTAATTATCACATGGATGGATGGGTGGATGATGCAGACCTTCCCTTCATTACTTCTTTCCTTCCTTCCTATTTACTAGCCTCAGAGAAGCAAGGGTAGACCGATGATAGAGTCAGATAACAGATCACAGTGATTTCTTCTTTTATAAAACTTCATTCATTCAACAATTTCTACCAAGTGCCTCCTTAGCTTTAGGGGGAAAAAAACCTAACTAACTTAGCAGTTACCACATACCAGGTACTTTCAAGTATGTTACTTAGTTGAAATGCATCTCCACGACAGTCCCAAAACGGTACTAAAAAGAAAGCTCTACCTCCGTTTTGCTGATCAAAAGGTGAGACCATTTGCCTAAGATCATACAGCTGGGAAATGGCACAACTAGGGTTTTCACACGGGGAGCCATGTTGAAATCTTCCTGGTTTAGAATGACCACTCACTCACTGCCATGTCCATTCCCATCATTCAATGTTTTAACGGATGCAATCACAGTGCTTGGACAAACAATGCACTTTTCAACATCTCTAACTAGTGACATCTTTACAGTCCCATAAAGCCTACTTACAATGCTATTTTCTCCAAGAAACTGGTCTGCTCTTCCCAGAATCCCTTCTGGTTCTGAGCACATTCTATTTTAGGAGATGACCATGCACCTACCTATATGCTTCTACTGTCTACCAGACTGGGAGAGCCTTAAGAATATGGACCAGAGCACATGCCTCAGAGAAAAGAATCTCTATGTCATAGATCTATTGTGAAGCATACAGAGTACCTGGCACCCAGCAAGTGCTCATCATGTTAGTAAAGGCTCTATTTGATATATATCAAATTTCACAAAGTAATGACTTTTTGTCTTATTTGTTCTATATATTCATATTTTTATTGAATTTATTTCGAGTGTGTGTATGTGCATATGCATACATGCACATGTGCTTGTATGTCACAGTGCATATGTGCAGGTGAGAGGTAAACTTTCAAGAATATTTTCTTGGGGCTGGAGAGTTGGCTCAGCTGTTGCCTTAGTTACTTTTCTGGCCCAAAGTTTCAAAGTCCTTCCACAATCCCTCCCCCAAACATGGTAAAGTCTGTCACAGCAATATCCCCTGAACCTTGTACTAACTTCTGTCTTAGTTAGGGTTTCTATTGCTGTGATAAAACACCATGACCAGAAGCAACTTGTGGAGGAAAGGGTTTACTTCAGCCTCAGCTTTTAGTCCATCATCCAGGGAAGTCAGACAGGCCAGAAACTCAAGGCAGAGACCTAGAGACAGGAGCTGATACAAAGGCCATGGAGGGGTGCTGCTTCCTGGCTTGCTCCCCATGGCTGCCTCAGCCTGTTCTGTTATAGCACCCAGGTCCACCAGTCCATGGATGACACCACCCACAGTGAGCTGAGCCATCATTCATCAATGGAGAAAATTTACCACAGGCTTGCCCACAGGCCAGTCTGATATGGGCATTTTCTCAACTGAGGTTTCCTCTTCTAAAATGACTCTATCTGTGTCAAGCTGATGTAAAACTAGCAGTACAGCCACTAAGAGCACTTGTTACTCTTGCAGAGTACCCAAGCTCATTTCCCAGCACCCACATTCATAAAGTTTCATGGAATCACACACCCTCTTTTGAATGCAACAGATATGAGGTGTGCCCATGGCACACAAACATACATGTAGGTAAAACACTCAAACATATAAAAGAAAAGAAATAAATCTTTTTATAAATAAGTTTTGGGGGACTGGAGAGATGGCGTAGTGGTTAAGAATAGACACTGCTCTTGCAGAGGACCTGATTTTGGTTCCCAGCAGCCATGCCAAATGCATCACAGATGCCTTTAACTCTAGTTCCAGGGAACCTGACACCCTTTTCTGGCCTCCTTGGGCACCTGTACACACATGGCACACACACATACACACACACACACACACACACACACACACACACACACAGAGAGAGAGAGAGAGAGAGAGAGAGAGAGAGAGAGAGAGAGAACACAAACATAAAAACAAAATATTTAAAATAAAGAATCTGTTCTCTCTCCTTCCATAGTGTGGCTTCTGGAGATCAAACTTAGGTCATCAAATGTGACAGCAAGTGTCTTCACCCACTGAGCCATCTTACCGGCCCTATACACCCATGTTCTAACATGCTTGTTTTAGCAATGTAATTATTTTTAACAGTGTTGGAAATGAAGCATATAGTGTGGCACGAGTTAGGCACATGCTCTGCTACTGAGCTACATCCCTGTCTTTGGGGGTTTTATTGGTTGGTTAGTTGGTTGGTTGGTTGGTTGGTTGGTTGGTTGGTGTTGCTTGACACAGGTGTTACCAATCCTCCTGCCTCAGTCTCCCCAGTGCTTCAATTACACGTATACACTCAGCTGTAACTTTTTCTCGTGTTAACAATTCTCTCTCACCACTCTCCAAGTCTCAGTTCAAATCACTGGTACTTGTTGCTGTTAAGTACTTAATAGCGCACATTCTTGCAGTTTGGAAAATAGATAAAAAGCAGTAGAAGCAGCCAGAGCCCGAGAATGGAGAAGAAAAGCCCCTTTCAGGGGTCCTGACCTGTTTGGAGAAGGAGTCCTCGAGCTCTGTGATGTCATTAGAAAACTCTCCAGATGTGGTGACTGAACTTCCACCACCATCGATGCCCCCACCACAGGAGCCTCCATAGGGGAGGCCCCGGTCAAGCCGGTGGCTCCGGGCGCCAGCCATGGCACCCTCATCCAATGAGGCAGGCTTGCCCTCGAAGTATGCAGGGTTCTGTGCTTTCTCGTACTCCTCAAAGGAGAACTGCATTCGCATGTTGGACAAGATGATGCGGCGGGACATGCGGCTCTCTGAAGCTGAGCTGCGCAGCCGCTCAAAGTTCTTATTCATACGGTACTGGCGAAAGGCTGTCTGGATGGTCCTGGCAGCCCTGCGGCTCAGGAAGGAGCCCCCATACTTCCTCTCCAGCATTTCCACCTGTCAGAGGAACAAGTTCAGAAAGTTGCCAGGGTCTCAACCATATCCCAGTCAAGTCCCAACTAACTGCTGGAAGTCATGACAGGCTTTGTGCCCAGTGTTTTCTTACTTATAATCCCTAGATGTACACAAGGGAAAAAAGGAAACGTATATATTTAAAATCAGAAAAAGCTTAGAAAAAAACAAAAACAGAAAGAAAAAAGAAAGGAAACAGTAAACAAAGAAGAGGAAGCTGAAGGAAGAAGAGAATCAGAGTTAAGAGAGAAAAGCAGGAAGGAAGGAAAGAAGGGAGGGGGTAAGGGACAATTCACCTACAGTCCAAACAGCTAGGCATAGCCATAATTAATGTGTTGATAACTGCTCTTCCAAGTCCTATTTTTCTTAAATCTTGTATAATGTCCTCCCCTCCCTCCCCCTCCCCACCCCTCCCCTCTCTTTTCTCTCTTTTACACCCCTAGACAGTGTATTGCATCATACTGTGTGTCAAGTTATGTGTGTGTGTGCCTCCCCCCTTAGATTGCATGTTGTTGAAGGCTGGGTGCAGGTCTCATTCATCTTCTGGACTCCATTATAGGCGCTCGATGATGTTTGCTGCATGAATAGGAGGCTCAGTGCATGTGCCGTGAATGTGTGAATCACCTGTACAATAGTAGGCCCTGGAGCCTGTCTTCCCCAGATCCAGCCTTACTGACCCTCCCTGAATACCACCCTCAAGTGCCACACCCCAACCTCCCACCTTTGGCTCTCTCCGTGTCCCACTCCCATTTTTAAACAGAGCCATCTCATCTGCACCTTCTTGTCCTGCAGGTCTGTGGAGAGTTCATAGCTGTCTGACAGGGCCTTGGAGCGCTTTATCTCCTCCTCCTCCTGCTTCCTCAGGGCGACACTGGCCGGCTGGAGGCGTGCCCTCTGAGCCCAAGGAAGGCCCACCCCAGCAGGGGGGCCCCCCATGTGGCTGCTGGTGGGGGGCAGTTGGCTCAGCCGGTAGGGGGGTTGGCTCCCAGGACTATCAACCGCTGTGCTCAGGTCACTGCCTGGGGCATCACCCTCCACACTGTGGGGATGAGATAAAATGAGCCAGGATGTGGCAACAGGAGAGAGGCTTGCTAGGCCCAACTCAGTGAATACACTAGATCCTGCCCCCAACCCCATCTTCTCCCATTTTCCTCAGAAACCTAGGGACTCCAACATTTAAGAGACCTTCAGTCTGTCTCTTCACTGCCTACACAGTTCATTCACTCAGGTGCCCTTGGTTTTCTTCATTCCCTTTCAAGTCCCTTCCCGTCAGGTCAGGTCAGAGCCCCATCTCCATAACTCCTTTTTGAGACACTGTTCCTTCAAGGGTGTCTTCTCAGTTTTGTCCTCAGTCCTACCAACCACCCCTCACAATCTGGTCCAGTCACAGCTTTACCTTAGTCTCCTCCCACTCCTGTACCTAGCAGCTCCAGCTTCAAATCCTTCTTTCCCTAATGGCCTAGTTGTTTCTTCCCCAGACCTCTTCTCCACCCAGCTAACTCCTCAACCCCCATGCAGTGATTTCCCTTATAGTCCTATTCCCAGAACTACCCCAGACAGTTTCCTTGACATATCGCCCCCTCCCAGCCCTGGTTGATGATTCCTACCCATCCAGGTCCTCCCTCCCCCACCCAGCCCTGCCCCTGTGCCCTGCCCCTGCCCTTAGCAGCCTGGAGTCCAGGCCTGGCCAGTTCCCAGGGTTCCCAGGCTGCTGCTGCTGCTGCTGTTGTTGTTACTGCTGCTGTTACTGCTGCTGCTGCGGCTGCTGCTGCTGGTGGTGAGAGGGCAGGGTGAAGGCACAGGCTGGGCCACATTGGGAAGTGCCTCCCATTCAGCATCCTCACAGGTAAAGAGCTGCCCTGCGGGGAAGCTTCCTTTTTCTCCTCATGTCCTCCTCTGCTCAGCCCCGGGAGGAGGGCAGGGGGGCTCTCAAGCGGAAAGGTGGCAGGAACTGGGTCCCAGGTCTTGCCTGCTGGGGTTACCTAGAGCTGTTGTTCTGCCAGACCTGCTCCACAGTACCATGGCAACCAGGCTGCCAGGGAACCCAGGTGGCAGCAGAGCTCCAGGGCATGTTGAGAAGCACAGAGGTGGGGTGAACCAGGAAGACTGAGGTATGGAGGAGGTTGTGGGAGAATGGGTGTGGCTGGGGCTAAAAGAATGATTTTTTTTAAAAAAAAAATCAGAATCAGGGAAGTAATATAGGCTGGCGGGGGGGGGGGGAGGTTCTTGGCTAGCAAAAGGATTAAAGAGCCACTCCTCTATCTCTATTGAGAAAGGCCAGGGGGCAAGGCCAGGGCAAGTTGGGTGGGTGGAAGGGGTTACCTACTGGCAGAAGAGCCTGTGTTGTCTGAGGTCTGTCTGCACTCTGTGCTGGAGGTCAGGGGCAGTAGAGCTGGGTTCTGCCAGGTGTGAACACTCACTCACTGTCTAACCTCCACCCTTCCATGTTCTACTCAGAGCGGAGACTGAAGGGCTGCTTTGCACCCTAAATTTCCTTTCTCTTGGACCTCAGAGGCCCCTGAGGCCATCCTTCACAGGTTAGACCCAGCCCAGTCCAGCATCAAAGACACTCTTGTCTCCCTCAGGATGGCCAGATCCTGGTCATCAATCTCTCAAACATCTCCCTTACCAGTACACATTTCAAAGTCAGCTTTGAGCAACTGTCTCCTCTACCCACAAAACATCCACAGCTCTCACTGTCTACAAGTTAGTCCAATTTCCAACCATTCTGGCATTGAAGACCTCTCAATTTCAGCAGGCAATGTTTCTAGAATACTTAATATTAGGTACCATTCTTACCACTTGGTACTTAACAACTTGGTTGTTCTTTCCAACAATGCTATAAGGTTGTTATTTGTCTTCATTTTATATAGAAAACAAAGCCCGGGGATATTAACTACCAACAATATAAGCAGGATTCAACTCCAGGCAGAGTGACTTCAGAGTTCACACCCTCCATCATTAAGCAACCCCTTAATCTAATCCACCCGGCCCAGATTCTGTTTCTCTCAAATGGTCCTCAGGCCCCTACCTCCCAAACTCTTCATATAAGACCTTCTACTCCCAATGTTTCCCCCATTATCTCTGCTAGTGCAATCTGAGAAATGTTCCACATGCTGGTTCTGTTAAGATTCAAGGTCTATGCCCCTACTGAGATGCCCCCTGAATCTTGCCACCAGCCAGAAATTACTACTGATCGTGCTCAGATCCCCTATCTTTACACATGACTTCTTTTTTCTCTTTCTTTTTTTGGACACAGATTAGCTTTGGCAAAGAGTGCACGACTCCCAGTATCCCAGCATAGGAAGAGAATTTGGTAATCTCTCTGATTGGCACAGGACGTGGGGACTAGATCAAACCACAGGAGGTATTTCTGGAGTAAGAGAGTCAGTGGATGTTCTTCATGGTTGCTCTAATAAAACTCTCACTCAAATTTATCACTCAAATTTATGCCACAAACTTCAGGATTATTTACAAATCTCTTCTCTATCCTGTGGAAGACTGTTGAAACACACAAATCAGCCCATCTTCCTTTCTCACCTAACCCTACCACAGCTTCCCATAATTCACTCAATAAAACAACAACCAAGTACTTTCCATGTATCAGCACTAAGCACCAGAAATACAATAAAAATCAAAGCCACCAAATTATTTCTTCAGGAAGGTGATATTATAGTCAGGGTAACAGATGAGACAGAGAGAGAGAGAGAGAGAGAGAGAGAGAGAGAGAGAGAGAGAGAGAGAGGTCTATCATTTCAAATAAATGTTAAGATAGAAAAAAGCAGAATGTTAAAAGATACTGTTTTAATTGTGTGTGTGTGTGCACATGTGTGTGCATGTGTGCATGCATGTGTGTGTGTGTGAAAGAGAAAGATAGAGGAGAGAGAGAGAGAGACAGGCAGAGACAGACTAGGGATAGAATTCAGAAAATTATGGTGGCTAGACAAGCTCTTTACCACTGATCCACAAACCCAGCCAAATTTGCTATTTTAGATGTGATGTCCAGGAAAGTCTTGGTTGTAGGGAATGGCACAGAAGCAGAATCCTCGTGGAAATGAGGGAGTGAGCTGTGTAGCTGTCTGAAGCTAGAGAGAGAGTAGAATCAGTACATGTCTACATGCTTAAGAATCAATAGAAAGACAATATAGTCAGAACCTAGTGAACAAGAGAGAGTAATGAGAAATAAGATTAGACATGTAATGAGAGTTGTACTAGTTAATTTTTGTCAACTTGACACAAGATAGTGTCACCTAGAAACTGGGAGCTTCAACTGAGGATTTATCTCCATCAGATTGGCTTGTGGACATGTATGTGGGCATTTTCTTGATTGGCAACTGATGTGGGAGGGCCTAGCCTCCCACCCTGGGCAAGTGGCCCTAGGGTGTACACAAAAGTGGGCAGAGCAAGCCATGGAAAGCAAGCCAATAAGCAGCATGCATGGTCTTGGCTTCAGTTTCTGCCTCCAGGTTTCTGCCCTGAGTTCCTACTGTGACATTCCTGATGACGAAATTAACCTTTTCCTCCCCAAGTTGCTTGTGGTCCGTGTTTTATCACAGCAACAAAAAACAGACTAATACAAGGGACATTGAGTCTATCATAAAGACTTTGGCTTTTGCTCAGATTGACATGCACATAGGAAGGATGTAACCTAAATTATCATCAATAGAACAGCTTTCAGCTTCCTTACCTGGCCTGAACCCTATGCCACACCTAGACTTGACTACCTTCTGCTCACACTTCAACATTTAGCTCAGGCGTGCCTTTCCACACCTGCTTGCCTGCTTTGCACATGTTGCCTTACATACATGCCTCTCCTTTATGATACCACAGGGCTCTGGAGTCATCTCTGCCCCTTGTAATTCCTTGTAACAGTTAGCCCCCTCCATAGTGAAGAGAGGTAAAGTTGATGTAAATGTAACTCAAGATCATACATAGCTATTAAGTAAGAAAGCTAAATTGCAAACTCAGAGCTCAGACTACCCTCTATTGATATTTCAGCACCTCTCCTACTCCCAACCCTGTGCTGCTCCAGGTTCTCTACTCCTTGGTAATTCCTCTCTTGAGAACTTGCCTCATTTTGATTGCAAAGAGAACAGTCTCAGGAATTGTAGGGTGGCAGCACAGCATCCCATGGGAGAGACTGGCCAAAAGCAAGGAGACTGCTTGAAGGGATGCTGAAGAATCTGTGACTGGAGGTATGGAACCCCTCATATCAGAGCCCTTAAAACACAGGCCAATCACATGGAACCCCCTCCCACCTCACGTATGGACAAGTATAATATCACAGACACATCCAAAGGCCAACAAATATTTGTGTCTAGAAACAAATATACACATTCATAGTCACACGGAAGTAGACATGAATACACGTAGACACAAACACACATTGCCCGCAGGACTATTCTTTAGGGGGAAATGAGAACATCCTTTGTAGAGGGGGAGAATAAGCCATGCTACACAAATAACCATAGAACAAAGTGGAAAGTTATCAGGGGTGGGGAATACAGGAAGTGATGGGGGAGTAAAGGAGAGAGATTCCTTCTGCTTGGGGGTGGCTGAGCAGAATAAAAATAAACTGGCACTTAACTATGCACCTACCCCGTGTCAGGCATTTTCCACACATTATTTAATCTGCATGGCAAACACAAGGAAAGAATTAAGATTCCTGTCTTACAGAGGAAGAAAACAGCTCTAAAAGGAAAACTGAATGACAAAGGTCACAGCTAGCAACTGGCAGGATAGGGAATTCAGACCCAAAGCTTGTGCTAGCCCTCCTGCTGTCTTGAAGTCTTCCTGGGAGAAGAAGCTCATGGACTGTGCTTTGCCTAGGAGGAGCTAGGCGAGAAGAGAGTAGAGCAATCTTGTAAGCCAAGGCTCTAAGATGGGGAAGGAGGTTAGGATGCTTTCTAGAGACTTGAGATTGGTCTGCCCATGACAGAGGGTGGGGCACAGACCCTTCCCAGATGTTACTCCTGTTTAGTGTGTGTGGGGGTCTTTTCTCCCTCCTTCTCTTTATTGGTACTGCCCAGCGCCAGGAAT